AGAATCAGCCGCTAATACTAGCACCTAGCCAAAACGCCACAGAGCGTCCTACTCTAATAGAACGGATAACAATAGTATCACCTCCGATTTAATTCATTGACGAAAATCCAGATAAACCAGCAGTCTGCTTTTTGAGTCAAGAGTCTGCTTCTATCTAATTCTTGCAATCGCTTAGTGTTTCTTGTAAAAGTTCCTTCTGGTTGCAAAAGCACAAAATGTCATTACATCTCCTAAAGGTGGGATGCGGCCATTATGGTGTTGAAGTTGAGTTAATGGAAGTTGGCTGTACTATTATGGTAAGTTAGGCTCTGATGCGTCAAGCAGTGTTGCAATGAAATACTATCTCGACCGAATGGACAGGCCCCGGAATGGCTTAACTGATGATTAAGTGAGGGGCAGCTTTGATATTCCACATAGCACTTCAGATATAAAGTTGGACATCTTCTAATGAGGAAACGCCTTTCAATGCAGATGGTCGAGCCTGTCCTAATTAGTCAAGTGGGACTCGTTGGAGCGTAGTGTCGCCTCAACATGGAAAATCAAGGCCTTTGGAGAAGATGTAGGTCAAAAGGATTCTACTACCAAGCCGCCTTGTAAACTATATCTATTTACAATAAAAATTATCTCATACTTAAGGGCTGAAATAATTCCAGTATTTTACGGTAATGCCAGGAAGTTGCTAAGAAAAGTTTTATGCAAAAGCTTGCATATTTTAAGTTTGCCTTAAGGCCGAATTGAATTCAGTTGGGGGGAGAAGGCATTTTGCGGACATCCAATAAATCATGGAGGTGTATTGTGGCGTACTTATAATCAATATCTGCGTAATTCATACAAGATAAAAAAAATAAAAATATTAGGCGAATTTATCGAAGAGAAACATAGGTGTCCATGTAAACTGGCTTCCCCTGGCGACGAAACCATACAACAGTGTTCGTGGGCGACCACAAGCAATGCTTGTTCTTTGGCTGTTGACCGTACAAAATAAGCAGATTCAATTCAGAAATCGGGGTAAAAACGCTAAATATGAAGGGCATTACATGGCCAAATTGCGAAACGGCGCCATTAACGAGAGACGCTAAGCTTGAGTAATTTCTTAATTCTTAATTAAGTAAGAGCTGCGTTCGAAAGCGGCAAGTGTGTCTGACGGCAGGTTCTGCGTTTCGTGTAAGATTATACTAGGCCTATTTTAGTTTAGGACAAATTTTAGAGATAAACAAAAGGATTAGGCTGGAATACCTCATGACGGGCCAAAAATCAAAGCCGGTCATTGAGTTGATAACATTTTTAGTACGATATAGCCTAATCAAGATATTATCTCGCATACATTTTACTGTGAATCGATTTTCATTATGGACCATTCCGCACTTGCTATACAAGGCTTCCCATACATAGATGACAATATACATATATGTGTATATATATATATATATATACATATATATATATATATATATACATACATATATATATATATATATATATACATATATATATATATATATATATATATATATATAACATACCGCACGGAAAACTACTATTCAAACGCTTCTGAAAAAGTGGGAAGTAGGAAAGCAAAAAGTCAACTGGCTACTGCTACGCATTCACGAAGTTATATTAAAAAATAAAGTAAAAAGCTGTTATCAAGCAATCTTTGAGTCATAACCGGACTAGACATAAAAAAAAAGCAGTATTATTTATGCTATCTTGAAGACGCGTAGCTTGCATAAAAAATTGTTTTTTCGATAACAACAATGAACCATCAAAGTATATAATGATTGCATACGTACATTATTTGTACTTGACCTTGGGATCGTAATCGTATATTCTAACATAGAAAGGGTGACATGCATCAATACCACGATAGAAATAAAAAAGTATATTGCCGCGTTTTGCTGTAGTGGCAAAATTGAAGGTCCTATAAAGCTTTCATATGTAAAATATATGGCGATGGTCCTTCAAACATAATTTTCACAGATCTATGCTTCCCATGGGATCAATAGAACAGCGGAGGCGTCTTTACAAGTGAACTGAGCAAAAGCTAACAACAAGCGTCTCTCTGTATTATAGTTATCTAAATGTGCTACAATTATCTACTCCATGGTCCGATGTATATAGATAACCGGTTTGAAAGGGCACTTTGACTGCGACAGAAGTATTACTATCAAATGACCGTTTTTTCTGTTACTTATTTATGACTTCTTCTATCATTTCATTTTTAGCTATACAGACATGTTCGAGATTGCTCGCTTGGCTCCTTTATATTAAAAAAAAAAACAAAAAAAGAAAGAAAAAAAAGGGGCAAATTTAAGTATTCGTATCTGTTCGTCGAAGAGGTTGTTTATAAACGAGCACTTTAGCGATCTGCTTCTACAGCGGGCGTTATCAAGTACCCACACAATCGAAAGCTAAAGCCACCTAAATCCAAGAACGTAATACTTTCTGACCTTCATCCTAGCTAGTTGCATGCGCATGCCCCGTCGATCGTCGACTCTGAGAGAATTTACAGGTTGCTACGCTAAAGCGAAAGGGCAGTCAGCGGACGCTGGCTGGCTGCCGGCGTCTGTGTCCTTCTCGTTCAAGCGGCGGCGGCGGCGGCCGCGGCAGCGGCGTTACCTGTTATTCTAATACCAATGCCATCATACCCAACATCATCAGATGGCGGATCCTCGTTAAGTCTTGTTTTGCTTTCTGAACTATATAGTTTGGCAGCCATTGTTGTTCTAGATACATCTTCAGGAACCATAAAAGCCGATCATTGACTAACAATGACGTCAGGACGAGCACAGAGGTAGTTTCGTGTGCTATAGTTGGTTACCTTGAATTGTTTATAACTTTTTTCCCTTACGATCAGGGTGTGACACAGAAGAGACTAACAATAATGAACTTTCGTATTTTGATAGTGACCCACCCTTGGTATTTGCTAAACCTGATTTCGGACGTTTATGGGGCCCTTTCGTTGGGCCATGTAGAGCGTTATGCAGGACGTCGCAGTGGCGTAATGCTTGTAATTCTACGACACACGTGACATTTTGTAATGACCATTTAGTAGTAATAGTTGCTTAGGACCGTATGTCAAACACTGGAATAGTCAAAAATAGAACTTGATTCAACTGAAATTAAAAGTAGTAGAATACGGTTGAATATGTTATTGAAGTATATAGAAGTTGAAAAAAGTAAGTGTCAGTAATTGTTCGTACGGCATTTTTAGTTTGTCGAACGAATCGCCCACAAATGTATCATCTCGTTTTGCTTTGGAAAGTGATCCACTGTTAACTCTTTCGTTACGAAAGTGGACATTGTATAGAAAGTTTCGCTTTCTCTACTTACTACTTCGCTTTAGAAAAATCTAATTCATTTCATAGTGCTCTTGTTAGCTAGCTAGCTAGCTATACCTAGCTAGTAGAAGCCGAAGTTCTCCATCAAATGTGGCTTTTGACATGACACGGCAAGTTCCAGAGGTCAACATGTGTACCGGTACTATCTATAAATAGATCTGAAATGGTCAGTGCTGTCACAAATACAAGGCATAGGTCGTGTTCCGACTCTCGACTGATAGGTTAGAGAGTGCCGTGTCTGCGTCTATATAGAATAGTATGCCACTCGAGCGTGTGTGCTTTCCAGCTGTTGACCTCGTGTTATTTGGCTTTTCCGCTGAATTCTTATGGATTTCATCTTTCTCGTTTTGTGTTACGTTCGGGTTATACGAACAGTGAACTGCGTTCATCCTACTAGTCAGCTGAAGTGTACCCTATATAGAGGGAAGTTTTCTCATCATTTCTCAATAGGAAGACATTGTCTTGACGATGGAACGTATTGTTACGGTACTTACTTTTCTCTACCCCCATCCCGGTGTAGCACCGAACGGATCCAAACGAACGTTCACAAATTTTTTTTTCCTTTCAAAAAACCATGCCACTTTCCGGATGTGGAAGTGTCTGCAATAATTTTCGAATGCTATGCCAGTTTTCATCAATTTTAGAAATTACAGATTTTCTAAATATGTATTATTGTATAATTTTGCTATGCTTCATCGCTTTCTATAGAATTGCTCTATTCTTCTTCGCTGGTGAGACAAAGGCTTCTCAGACACAAACGATACACAGCTGCTGTTAGTTGTTAAATATATAAGGGCTCTCGTATGCTTTTCTACATTAATCACCCTTCCCTTTTTATTGAATTAAAAAAAAAAAACAACGTATGTTCAACGGTATTTCCACCAGATTGCCTTGCAGGATAATAAGCACACAACTGACGCCGCAAGAACTTATTGCACGGAAAATGTTTGCCGCGTGCACCCACATACCAAGCCATGCCGTTGTGTGTGCAGCATCCCGAAGGGTGGACGTGTCTGACGGGCACAGTTCATCTCATCTTGTACGCTCCTTTGTAAATAATAGCGAATGAGTATTTTGGATTTTTGTTATGACAAATTTTAAGATCATTCGGTTAAACGCTGGACCATCTAAAAAGGAGCAACTAAGATTCGACCGAATTACCTTACCGTGGAATCATACCCGTTAGATATTCCCACACGACGTAAGTTGCATTTTGTAATGAGTGGCGACTTGAGCTCCGAAAGCAACCAAATCGGCGATTAACGAGGAAAAATATTCTATCACTGACTTTGCTGGTCCAACGAAGTTGATGTTTTCACATATAAAGTGAATTTTATTGGAATAAAGGTGTTCTGTAAACGTCGCCCAATAGATATTATATATGGCGCACAAAATTTAAAAAATCTGTTTCGTTCGTTGTTTCAGACGGGTTCTCTGCTGGATAGACATCTATAGCAGTTAATGGCAGGGAAGGCCAGTCCTGGATCCCACATCATAGCGCCTGGTAAATTATTTTCATCATCGCACAAAGAAAAGAATGGTACGCATTTTAGAGATCAGTTATTTTTGCAAAAAATTTTTGTTCAGTTTATACGATATTGATTTTTTACAGGAACGCATTTAAAGAAAGATGAGAAAAACTGTGCATGTCGTGTCAACGCAGTGAGAGCGTACACAGGCAGTTAAAAAAAACATCGTATTTACTAATTAACGCTACCAGATTAACGCGCCAAGGTGCCGTCAACAAAAAAAAAAACATTAAATATTCAGAGAATTTCGCAAAGGTTAATAAAGCTAGATTTATCAGTTATTCGACCATTTCAACGCCGGTGTACGTTTACTAACATATATACATGGCTCTATAAAACAATTGATGGAAACAGACGCGTGAAATTATCAACATTTTGATAACTTTGTGATAGTTTCATCGTAATTTTCTTTTCCTAATTTGTCAGCTGTCTGGAATCTATTTGTTGTTAGAAAATGTGGGCTATCTACAACCGATTTGGCCGCTTTTCGAGGTATCTGGGGAAGATGCGATCGCGCAATTGCCTGAATTATTATTATTGTCAGCTATCCATTGTTAGCTACCAGACGCTATTGTGACCTGGGCAAGAGTGACGACACAGATGGATACGGTTTGGCATGCCAACTAGGCAAGCCCAGAAATGCGCGTTGTTTTGATACAGGTTTACAGGTACAGGTAAACAGACAATGCAGCTATCTGCAAGATTAAGGAAACTTTCTATAGCTCCTATACGATAAGCAGTCTGCTCCAGAGTAGTCATTATGGTGCCAACCTACCGCTAGTTGTGTACTGCACTAAAGCTATGACATAGGCAATAACGATAAAGCAATGCATTTTGTTTTTTCTTCGTTCATATTTTCGTCCTAGACTAAAGTCTACCTCAATTAAATTTAAAATGTAACCACGCCATTTAAAATGTAACTAAACTACGCCATAATACGAAACACAAACGAGTTCAATTGATTCTCATTGTAAAAGCTAGGACGCCTCAAGCGGTTACCGGGTGCCATCACTTAATTATGTCGACCTGTCAGGTGTCTTTGAGGATAGAAGAATTGCGTCTTCGAGACACAGCCAAAAATAGTCGTCAAAAAGATCTATCTCGGTACCCATGACTTTTTCCCAATTTCGATAAGCCAGGTGTAATTATAGGGTGAGTAAAGTGTCACTGTTGATGGGATAAAATTAGGTGTTTGTCCTTACGTAGAACATAGCGCGCGCGCGCGCGCGCTGAATAACGCATCTGAAAGCCCAACAGCGAAATAGGAGTCGTCTCACATCGTCATGCTACTAAAAGACCGAAAATAACTTTTCTTCTGCCCGATCTGTCGTACCCAACAAGGACACCAGCCCAGATGACAGCTCTCGGTCTGTCCTATTAGGCAGATGTACAACAGACGTATTCATTCGGTACGAAGCCATCGTAACTTGAACCGAATACGCTAACGTATAACAGACTATTACAGGATCTGGCAGTAGACAATGTGGATGAACCGAGACGTAATCTATGAAAACCGTTCCAAGAGAGTAAAAATCGAGGTCAGTCGTGATAAGCCGATGCAATATTTGGGTGTTTGTGATGCCGCACGAGAATTCGAGTGACTCCAGGTATCAAAATGAATACGTTTGTTTGTATAATTTACTAGCGGACCCAAGAATCACAGAACTCCGCCATGTCTTTGATTGTAACTAAGAGGGTTGGTTGATTGCAGGTAAATACTTGTTGGAAAAAAACTCTAACATCATCTTCCGTTTCACAGTGGGAGACTTCCATTTATTAAACTCGATGTTTGTGCGCTTTATTAAAATGTTATGCTTTATCACAGTAATCCAATGAGTTGTCGAAGAGGTATTGATAGTTTTTTTTAGCTACGTGGCTCTTGGGTTATATGTTGCGTCACTTGGAAGCTGAGACCTGATAACGATAGCCGTGCTAAGCCCATCGAAATACTTCCATTCAGATTTCAGATGAGTGAAATATCTGAAAAATGGCAAAATGGGGCCCATGCCGATGAAGCATTTGTGCAATTGATGGTCAGGATACATTATCGAAAAAAAAAAAAAAAAAACAACAACAACCCAAACATGGTTTTTTTTGCTTTCGTCCTAGAAATTTCGATGTGAAGGATGCTTTTCTTAGCGGCGAACCGATCACGAAAAAAATGATGAAATTATTGCGGAAGCTGAGCAGGACGTGAGAGACCTACTGGGGACCTGAGTAGTTAGTTACATTGATAAAACGGCACGGTTTTAAACTATTTGAAGAAGGCTGTCTGTTAAGAGGAGCTCGATGTGTGGGTGCCACACAGATAAACGCAAGACAATTTATTCAGTCGTATGTAAAACTAACTGTCTGAGTTACAGAAATACAAATGGAATGAAGCTATTTGAGAAGTGGCTGGCTACGTGTAGTGAAGAACGGATCACATATAACAGTAATGCGGAAAAAAAAGTAATAATAATCTGTGGCAAAGTTTGAACTGACGCCAAAGAATGTAATGCCACGTTATTGGTGGTATTGAAAAAAACGTACGTTATGAGCCCGTAAGAACGGTTTATGTGGACTTTTATTATCAACAACAAGCCATCGGGAAAACGACCAGAATTTGGGAACAGAGGGAGGGTCATCTTCCGCCGCAACAATGTCACTTTAGCCACCCGGCAAAAAATTGAGAGTACTCCATTGATAGTGTCAACTTGGTTTCAAAGGATCCATGAAAAAATCCCTTGTCACAATTTTTTTCTCTATAGAAGTTCTATAGTGATGAAATTGTCGTGTTACCGAAAGGATACCAGAATGTCATCAATTAAAACGGCCAATATTTATTTTATTTTTCTTACCGTGTGTTTTTGGTAATGTTGTTTTAAGGTCTCAAATATATATTTGGCTTAATTTTCGCTGTAGAACCGTCAAGACATTTTCGATCGCCCAATGTTATACATCGGCCCAGTTAAATAGCATTGTGCGATAGAAAAGTTAATCATATGTGACAACTTTAATGAATATGGATAATAAAGAATAAAGAAAGAAGAATGAAAAGTAAAAATCTGGCACTTAGACAAATTTTCTTTGGTAACATGCGTTGAGGTTTGTCTGAGTCTATTACAATACAACTGTAGTTTTATGTTCGGAAGTAGAATTGGGTAATGATCTGGATTACGTGACGCCATGCTCAGACAGGTAAAGACAATGTACAGAGATTAGTTACGAGGTAAAAGATAATTGTTAGTATATTCTCGAAGTAGAGTCGACGAGTTGATATTCTTGACAGGTTCTTTAAGCTGAAAGTTCCAGAGAGAAACAGTTCGTAACGAGAGTATACCTGTACACTTATAATTAGGGACTTGTTTTAAGTCTGAGAAGTTTGGCAAGAGGCTGACATCATCCAAATACATGGAACGAGTGTTTCTTTTTTGGCTGCTATAAAGCAGAGTTTAAGTCTATGGATCTAGAAATAAAAGGGAAACTGTAATGTACCCGAAAATTTTCGACCGAAGCGAACTTCAAGATGTGAGAGACTGCATGAGAGGCATCATCTCGCCGAACATGTAGCCGCCTGATGGAATCCTAAATTATCGTGCAGAAGATACGAACGAGACAAGTATTGATTTAGGAAAAAATGCCCCAGCTTCGATGCAGCATGGTAACTGACAGACACTTAAATAGAAGCCAAGCCTATTTTGCCTGAAGCACGAGATCTAGCAGACCTGCTGTATCAATGTACCCTAAAAATTGACCATGAATTAATATTGATCTAGGATACGTGGAATTATTACTAGAGCTTTTACTCTACTTACTTTTTTTACCACTTATTTCATTTTTAGATTACTAGCTAGAGCTAGCTACCCATATTGTAGTTAAAAATCTATAACTTTATATGAGAATACTTTTAGAAAACATCTATCGTCTTCCTAGAACCTAGACGCCGCTATGATCTTATAAAACCTAGCCGATGGCTAGAGCTGCCCTGAGAGCGGTAACTGGCACAACGTGAAATCGCATAAGAGCTCTGTATTCGCAGAAAGAAATCTGCCGCAGACAAGTGTTATAACATATCTATGACTGGCTAGAGGGGCAGAAAGCCAGCTTTATAATAATCTTAAACATAACGTCTCATTACGGTCGTGGAGCCCCCTTTATTGCCCAGCTGATGTTGTGTAAACGATTTTTCGTTTGTTCTGCAGGAAGCGCACCTGGGGGTATGAGCCGAAATAATACCATGAGTAGTCTTCAGCAACAAAATATTCTACTCCAGAAGGAGCGCTGTCCTTGGACCTGTCCCAGTGATCGCGAACTTGCCCTGCGCGCCAAGTAAGTTAGAACAGTCATTTGGAGAGGATTTCAAAGGAAAACGTTAGCGAGAGTCGTTGTTGTAAATTTCAAACTCACCAAATCAGAAATACGTCCAGTTGGGTCAAAGCAATATCACGCCATGCATAATACGTATTGACAGATTGTAATTGTTATACGATAAAGGGTATGATCAATTAGTTAAACCCATGCGGCTATATCACTAACTTAGATCGCTATTAATGGAATTTGACTTAGTACAGCCTATGCCTCCTGTTTCATTGAGTAGGCAATATGCCCCTTGGGGTAATGGATAAGTCTATATGAAATCGTGCAACAATCTTACTTTCCATGATAAAGCTTTTGACGCGTATTCTGTCGTAGAGATGATAATACGAACTTAAACAGATCCCTAGTAATCTACAACAATCCATACTTCTTTGGATAGTGTCATCTATTCGTCAGTTGGCGTTGACCCTCAAGTATAGTTGCTGCGGCAAATATTGTGAGCTCTTCAACCCCCCATGCCCATTTATATTGTATTCAGTGTACATCTGATGCAACTTCAAAGAAGAGTCGGCAAATTAGCCTCTAACTAGGGCAAAATGGAGCTCATTCTACATTCATAGATACATTTTGCAAAAGCTAACACTTGCTTTATTGTACGCCCGCATACACCGACCTATGAGTAGTTCAGATACTGACTAATCTTTTTGTTTTTGTCTATGTCGTGCTACATGTGAACTGCAGATGCATTGAATCGGCTATATATTTGACGTCCCCATGATAGGCTAGTAAATAGCATGCTATATAGGTAGGCCAACCCAAGCCTGCACACACTTCGTTCTATGCTCGGGCACGGCCATGTGAGACAATGCCAAACAATTAAGAACAGGAGGTAAAGCATAAACATATGATGCAATAGTTCTACAGGGTAGGTGACAGTTCAGATCGCTGGTGGCGCTACGAAGACAGTTGTGTTTCTTTTTTGTTTTGATCTAAAAATTGCCTAAATATTGCCCTCTTATGAATGTATCTTAGTATAAATATATCATAATAGATTATTTTGAAATTTTAGCGCGTCGTGGATTAGTGCGCTGTACTGACAAGTCCACCTGACACTTTCCAACTATTTAATGTAGTTAAGTTAGTCTCATCTTTCTTTCCTACATAGCATTTATTATGTTCAAGCATAGTCAGTCCAACTAACAGCCGCACAATCAACTGTTTATGGGTTATGATATTGTAGGCATATTTGATAACAATCAGGCCACAGAATCTAGCTGACTAGAATACGTGCGGCTAGTAGCAGCGCTTTATAAAGCTTAATATGAAAGTAGTGCCTTTTGCCTATCGGTTTCATGCAGTTTAAGATCGGATTAGCATTTGCAGTATTGCAAATTAAAGGGTTTGCTTCGGGTTCGAAGGCCTCCTTCCTTACCGCATTGGTTTCGTCAGCCAAGGGAAGGGAGAACTTATGGCATACTATTGAGCATTAATTTGACGGACGATATCTTGGACCAACGTCTCAGTAAAGGGCGTGCATCTGCGATATATATATATATATGCCAAGAGGTACACCTATAAAGTATGAACACGAATGGAACCTTCGAGGAAATGCAAAACACAAACGCGTGATTCACTAATATGTCCATAGTAATTGTATAAGAAATAGTGCTATGAAACGTATACATATATGATGAAATAACTAGTATTAAACTTTAAGAGCTAGTTTGGCCTCCACATGTAATACCGTAGAACTATATGTCCCTGAACGAGGGTTTTTGCCTGATGGAGCATTACACTATGTTCGGGTTTTTATGTAGCCATATATATATATATATATATATGTTTTTCATGGATAGCCTAGACTGCGTCGTCCAGGACATCGGTGCATTGGTTGTGTCCTCGAACTAGGCAGCCGCTAGTGATTCATATACGAAAATGTGAAACTAACGAAGACGTCAATTGTGTACTGAACAATAGCTTTATGGATTATGATTAAGCTAATAAATACACTGTCTTTTATATTACGATATCTCGTCTTGTATTAGATAAGTAAGTCCTTTTGCCAGTGGGCTATATGAGTGGTGCAGTGGATGTCCAGCCGGTAATGTTCTTGTTACTGAGCAAATGGAAGCCTGTGTATAACGTAAATCATATTTGAGAGCTCCTCAATAGAATTGTAGCTCAAAATGTTTAGGTGTGCATTACGGGAAGCACGTGTTCTTCCAAGGACCTGCTTAATGCAAATCGCCACGGGGGAATATTACTTCTGTGACTAGATCTCCCAATATCTATCGTTATAAAACAAATATCAAACCGATCTAGGTCACCATCATTGGATTGTTACGTTTGTTTATAACAAAGAAACGGCTGTAGGCATGGGGGTTTGCGGTGCTAACAACCGGCACGCAGACAGAAGAGGATACGTAAGATGCTTGCTGTTTTTCAGATCGACAAAAAGGTCTGACAGGAATTACAGGAAGCTTTGAGATTGATAATAAGCAAAAGCGAAACCAGCAATGATCACCGAAATTAGAGGAGTCCTTCAAATTGGACTTGATTGTTTTTTGCTGAATCTTCTTCCTTTTATAAAGAGGATGTTACCGCACCGTCAGCCGAGTGCGACACCTATGAAACTGTCAAATACCCCGACTCAACCTTGGCTGCCTCGCTTCTTGAGAAGGACTAAATACCTAGGATATCGAGACTCAGCCATCGTTGTTGTGTCAAAGCACGCATCTCGGTGTCTCCGGCGTTGCCCTGATCCTTGTTCTTTGTTGTGTTGAATACACTTATGAAGAGTTTCCTATATGTCCCCAGCCAAAGAGATGAAGCCCAGGGACGAAATCGTAATACGAGATATCGTACTCATCGTGATTCCTAAAGGTCTACAGATATCCACAAGATTCCTCTTCGAGAGAACGGAATCAAAAATGACCAAAAATGTTTCAAGCTTTATGCCCGTAACTACTGTTAAGGACGTCTTTTGACGGCTGAGTTCTTCAATCGTCAAACGAAATCTTTCTTTATCTAGGCCACTTCGCGGTCCCTAAGCCATCATGTGAATGCCATTGTCATAGACCAAATGTCCCTCTGTTCCTCACGTCCCAGTCGCGGCGTCGTCTTCCCAACGCCCGTCTTATTATTGCAAATAGACACAGGATCATTACCGTGAATAGAGTGTGCTTTTTATATATAAGCAAATGTGCCGACAACAAATTTTCTACTCATTTCCTTGTCTCGTCCAGGTGCCTAAGTGTTGCTACTAGGTCTATAGACGCGTGTTTGCTAAATAGTTTGACACAACTAGAACAAACCCGAGTCATTTAGACCTGTCATAATGAGCGTTTTCATCGATCATGATCTCTCTGATTTCATACCCGGACGCTCTTAATTCTTTAAAGGTAGTTGACTTTTGATTTCTTACTGACACCAAGGCTATAATATTTGACATGCTGGCAGCTGATGATGATATTATAAAAGCAAATTATTATTAATTGGTTAGCAGTCGTTCTCTAGCCCGTTTCTAAGTCTAGATGATATAAACGGGTAAAAATATTTATGACAGCTCTTCTTGCATAGGGCCGCTCTGAAAAGACCGAGACTCAATTAGTACACCAAAAAAATTAACTGAATTGACGTAATACTCGTACCCCAAGTTTCGGATGCGGTTAGACGGAACGCTAACTAGATCAAGGGCCCCTGAGAATTCGGCGCTCATGTTTCGTAATTAATAAGTTCTATAGATATGCAACTAAGCGAATACCAGAACATAATGAAATAGGTCCAATTATATAAAATAAATGAATTGCCGAAAAATTTGAAATAATTAAAAATTTCTTTTGCCAGTTCATTTGTCCTTTGCCTCATTGGACAATTAATTGGATATGGGTATGATTGCCCCTTTCCGTAAAACAGCCCAAATTCAAATTGATCAGCGGCTAAGGAATCTGTCCCTAAAATACAGCTTTGTTCCTGACAGTCTGAGTTCTTGCTTCGACTCATGGTATGCCGCAGCTATAAACATGAAGTTCTCCCCGTCATTCACTCGTCGCATCCAGGGTCTTCTTACCTTAAGGAACGCATGTACTTTGACCTGCAACCTAGGACATACTACTGAAACCATCCAGACATCGAACCCTAAGCTTTGCTTAACTGCTAATGCCGTTTGAAGACTGGCATTTACAACTTAAGAACACATCGATCGAAGTACTTGGCAGGGTGTAAAAGTATTTGTGCGTTGGAAAGTGAAGGACGCAGCATTAGTCCACTGTGCTAATGTCGATAAATGAACTGTATTATACAAGTAATCATGAGAATTGTCCGTAAAGTAGGGAAGCCTGTCACGATAGAATAATTTCCAATATACATTTTTATGTCAAACACGCGAACCTTAAAATAAACTCTAGATACGCAGAACAAGAGCGCCTTTTTTCATTTCATAGAGGTCAGGATATGATGCCTTTCCCTTTTTGCTTAGATAACGATTTAGCGTCCGCTTAAGATTTTTCTAACTGAGAATTTTTTTTACTAGAAATTTCAGAACCTATCTGTTGAATGAAGATAAATGACAATAGTATCGGGAAAAAAACCATCATTCCTGATTGGAATCTTAGCTTCTAATTTTAGGCCGATTAGCCAGTGTTACCGTAAAGGTCGAAGGTGACTATTGTAGGTGATGTACACTAGGAGGATTTAATTTAATGGAGACTGTAATGGAGCTACTTCAATAATAGAGAATTCGGGAAAATAAGACTTTTTTCCTTCTATATTTTCGTATCAGTGTTAAGCGCTGATATATTTAGTTTACCTAAGCTACGTAGAGCAATTCAGTTGCAGTTGTACTTATTGTACTACTAAACTTTAATATAACTTAAGTTATTTGCGATTCCTTATTTGGCTAAAAGCATATGAAATCTATCTAAAAAAGAATGGTACAAAATGTGGCATTCTTTTCTACGTTCGAGTTCTCTCAACCGGAATACATTTCGTTGCTTCCAGCAATAAAATCCATCAACCCAAATTGTAACACTAATATAGGGCAATGTAGCTTACAAAAATTCGCTATCAGTACAAATTATGTAGAAATTAACATCCAGTTGCCCTTGTTTAGTTATAAATGAGCCTTGGAAGCAATCAGTGAGGCCAAGCCACACAGCCGCAACGCTTAGCTTGTGCCAAGTTCAAGGCTGTGATCGGGTTGGGTCGCACAGGCTCCGCCACCTAGGGCGACGTCCTCGAGGACCGGGGAATACTTACAGAGTGTGCTGACGCCAATAGGCGATTTTAGATCGAGCGCTGTTCAACTGAAGTCTCAAATAAAACAGTGCGATCGTATTCCTAAACTCTACTGATTTCTGCAAAATGGACTTTTTTTTTTTCTTTCTCCATGTAACTGTTCTATCTGTCTCCGTTAGTAGCTTCAACTACTGATTCGTCCTGTACAATTTTAGCCTTTTCTTTATTTGACTTCAAATGTTTGCCCTCACAGATAATGTCAGCTTACGCTAGGAGCATATATTAGAGAAATTGGGTCAGACGTAATAGACGTTTGATCTCATGGCATAAAGTAAGCGTCAACCAATGGACGATAAGAAATAAATCACTAATCTGTAATGTAGAAAGATTTTTCTTTTTTTGTTTGCCAGCACGGCAAATTTTACGCCGACAGGTTTAACTTAACGATAGATCAACTGTTTTTTTAGCGTAATGCTTTTTTAAAATACTGACTTTATTCGCGTATAGCTGTTTTTCCATTGTCCTCGGTCAAAGCCAAGTTGACTAATCGGTTGAAGAAGGATCATTATGGGAATTATGTTTAGGTTGTAGTGCTGAATCCTAAAAAATAAAGTCTGTGTCTTTAGGCTTTAGCTATAAGGTATTTTCGTAGAAAAATCAATTGTTTTATGTCAGATGATAAAATTCTGAATCCGTTCCGTTCCGTTCGGTTCCTATTGTATTGCATTACAGAGTGCGATCCGGGTGGTCCATTAAGACAGATCACACGTTTGGCATGCCCGGGCCCTTAACTGACAAAGAGCGCTCAATGATCCTCGAGGTCGTTCAGAAAGCGGATCGCGTTGAGCGGATGGAGCAAGAACGAATTGTGTATGTATTATAACGTTTTCTTTTCAGAGCCGTGCGACTCGAAGGGAGATTTCATGCTAGCACATGAGCGAGACCTAGCACATAGACCGCCACACCCCTGTCGAGAGGTATGGCGTTGTATGTGCTTGGTAGAATACCTAAATGAAGGTACGATTTACATGATTACACATGGAGTTTTGAGCAGACAAGCAAAGTGTTACAGCTGACGTCGTTTCTTGGTCATATCACTTTTGCTTTAAAATGCCGACGTTCTTTACATTAGGTAAAATGGAATGAAAAATGTCCGTAATGTAGTTCAGATCGAAAGGAAAAATCTGCGTCAAAGCTAAATCGGCACGACTCACATCGGTCAAATAGTATATCCCGAGCCGCCCCATTAACCCCTTGTAATGCGGACAGCCTTGTTACACCAGAAACTGAAGAAATAGGGAAATGAAGGGGCAAGTTCTGATACATGAACTTCACATCGGTGACATGAAGGGATGCGCTCACTCAAACAGTCGTATTTCAAAATTCCATGTTGAGTTCAATTGCAACGAGGTCTCTGTTTGTCTATCCGCGTGATTTTTTGCGATACACACAATTCTGCCTTTGTCAACTATCGCCAGCGATACTCTTGGCTGTTTTTTTCCTTAAAATTAGTCTGACAATGTTGTCGTTAATTTCTAAATTAATGCAACCCGAATTGTATCAATAAGTAAACCATCGTATTACTATGTCGGTTACGATTAATAGCCTTCGAAAAAATAACGCGATAGTGAAGACCTATGATGTAAAGAACATAAATTAATAATATAAAACATTGTGTTTCACATCTTCAATCGGTTAAGCGATTGCCTTAAGGTTATGCAGGGCAAGGTATTATCGTTAAGTTTTCTCGTGCACAATTTCTTTTCGAATACGGTAGTCGTACGTACCTTTAGTGCTCAATATAGTTATGATTGATGCATTATAGACGATTGGTGACGCAGATGGAGAAGATGAAGCATTGTTGTGTGCTGGGGCGAGGCTCGGGGCAGTGTCACATGTGCGGCTCCCCTTTTCGGCTGTTAATATCAAACGCTCAGCGATGCAGCGTCTGCGCTCAGGACGTCTGCTCAAGATGTGGCCTCAACGTGGTCATACTTCAAAGCGGTACCATGCAACGGGATGTCGTCTGGCTCTGCAAGATATGTCATGAAACTAGAGAGGTACTAGAATTTTGGCTGAGTTAATTTGTTCTAACAACTACAATAGAAAACAAGTTGCGTTGTCATAATAACTTATTTACCAAAATAGATAACTTCTCTCTTAACGTAATATTAACATAAATCTAATGAATCACAGTGGTTCGATAAGGCTGTAAAGGCTGAAACCGAACTATGTATACACACATGCAAAATATAGGGAACATGAATATAGAGATTTTTAGCGCGATTCAGGAAGCACTTATTTATAGATGGCAAATTATATTGTTCGTACATAGTAATTCTACATAGCGTATCCTATTCGCTTCGTTTCATCCGTCGATCTAGGTAATAATAACAACAACAAATTAAGCCTAACTAATCTAGTGGCTCTCATATATAAACATATTATACACGCGCGTGCGACCGCGGTCTATTATTACGGGAGAACGAAACATAGATACTGCTATCCAAACATGGCAAAAAAATTTCTAGTGCGAGAACAGTGTACTTCATGCATGAATACATAGATGAAGGTCAGTAAACGAGGAGCGCAGACGTCGCTATTATACAGACAATGGATTCGTAGCATTAGTTCAGCGGCAATGCAAAGCTTGTATGTCAACACCTCGAGCCACTCTGGCTGGTCTGGTCTTAAGGCGGGCTGTGCTTTTTATTGCTTTACCTTTTTTCAAAGGCAACAAACTCATTAAATTTTGTCGTCTCGTTTAAAGAAATACCTCCTTCTAGTGTAGGGTGTGCTATGCACTGAGGCTTACCAGAAGTCGTGCAGTACAATTTATTTCCTGTAAAGAAATGCGCGATCCAGAGACGATCTCGATTCATTTCCAGACTTATCGGGTTCGACTGGTGCCTATTGGAAGGAAAATTGTCAACATGCTATGTCAGTGGGCATTAGTCAATGGTACGTCTTTTCTATAAATCTAAGGTTGAAAACGTTTCACAAAATATTTGTATTTACCGTTATTTTGAGTATTTACCGTTAAAACTATTGTGGTCGTTTTGCGTTTTTTTGACAAGCCCCACAAAAGTTCCGCGCTATTGGAATTGCTTTTGCAGAGTCCGAGAACAAAAAGTAACGCGATAAATAAATAAAACGCAAATGATCTGGGTTCCGTTGGGCGGAAAGGTCCGTCTAGAACGGGGCTGTGTACCGGAAAAAGCCTCTCCTACGACATTGAAACGTAAAACGAAATTTATATTAATATAAGTAAATATGCGTGTACACTCTGCAATTCAGACGAAAAGGGCAAATCTTTTGTTGTTAGGAAATATTTTTCGAGTCTTTAGTGCAAACTAAGGTTTCCATAGAACTATTGGGCTGGATGTCTGATCGTCGAGGACGGTTCTTACACAACTGCCACCTATTAGCAACAGAATATTAAGCTCCAGGTAGCATGATAATTGCAGAAAGGAAGGAAAAGTTTTAGTTCTAATACTTTTACGACTAACTAGTTTTTATTGCTTACCTACGGTACTCTTCGAGTTCTATTATAATCGCTTACTATGTTGTAAGTTTCATAAATTTCCTTCATCTATCATGCGACGAAACTGTCCTTCAGCGGTGCGTTTCTCACATGGCAATTTTGAAGAGTGATCAGAAACTGATGCTTGAATACAACAAGCCGAAAGGTTTCCATTGTTTCAAACTACAGATTGGTGTCCTCCTAACAACTTAGTGCGTAACGTATTTGTATTAAAGAAATCTTAGGGGGCGCGTACGTCCTTGTTTAGGTTCGGATGCGGGCATAGACACACTCTGCTTCGTGCTCGGAGCCACCTGTCTGATGGAATACCTAACCGCGATGCCGGACGTAAAACTCGAAACATGAAGACTCTAGATTGATCTCTGCCATGCGCCGTCATACAAAACGAATATGATACCACTGAGATCTGAGCTACCTTAGCTAGTCCACAACAAAAACGGTGCCTAAAGCATTGGGGTACGCGTGCGACTCGTCTCTCATCCATGTAACGATCATCGAAATATTTTTTTCGACAACTCGATGTTCGATGCCTTACGACCGATATTGTAACACTATGTACCCAATGCACAGTACATACACACTTGCATCACAATTCGAATTCGCTCAAAGTGACCTTAATCTCGTTTGCCGTGGCCTGCTGGACCAAAGTGCCACATATGGTGAAGGGCGACACGCACACCCTCTGAGGCTGTACTCGTCGAATTCAGGTTCACAGGCTAGGAAGTTCAGGGAGCTTAGGCAGTAATCAGCGAAGGATAAGAGCGTAATTACTACTTGCAATATGGAAATAAGTGCATATTAGCGATGTTTGTGGAAAGTGTGTTTCTGCGTTAGCTTTATTAGGCCAAAAAAACCGTTACTACTACTGTGAACTGTCTCGAAAAGCAAGAAAACTAATAGACTGCAATAAAATATGATGTAAATGTAATAACAGTCATACTATTTCGAGAGTTGAAATCTTACAGAAATTATCCGAATATTGATACCCTTATGTCGGTAGGAGCAGTGAATGCCAATTTTCTCCAAACATCTTACGCGTGGTAGAATCGCTTACGAAGCCAGCGTGAAGTTTAGAGACTACATTGAATAGGTTTTCGTGAACGGTCCAGCGTAACGATTTGCTAGTCCGTCTGTTATTTCCAATTAATTCAATTATACGATATAACGTAATATATATTTTCTGAAAGTTTCAGCTCCAGAAAACATGTTTTAGCGCTGGTATGCTTTGTTGTGCAGGAACTTTTAATCAGACAGAAGTCTTCATTGGTAATGAGTAAAGCTAAAGGAAACAACGAGACGGCTGCTCAAATTCGAGGAAACACTTCAAACGCGACTTAGTCGATACATCCTTGATACCTCTTCGCGTCGAATAGACACGCCCATGCCGAATGTGGTTGAGTGGCTCAATATGACAAACATAAAAACACCGACGTCACAATGAAAATTCAACGCTAACCAGAGACGGAGATTTAGCTTTTACGAGCTGTGCCAGCTAATTAATCATAACAACGATGGTTGGTTCGTAACGACGTTGAATCGTTTAACTTACCTCACCTTGCTAAAGCCATAAAAATAACGCCTACGCGTCGACTCCTCAAACTAAGCTTTAGCCTCGGTCCGTAGCAATATTAAGAGAGATATTCTAGCTCCTACGGAAACCTCCACCAAACACGTATAAAAGATGAAAGGAAACTGCAAATGGAAGTCTCACTAACATATTTTTGAAAATATCTTCACTTTTGAGGATGTAAAAATAGCATTGGGGTACAAAAGAGAGATCGGCCTGTTAGCGGCATAACGTCTCTATACACATATAGAGTTGAATACCGAAGTAGTTGTTTGTACTTTAAAATTTTTATGTACCTGAAGGTTTATGCAGTATACGCAAATTCTCTGGCACATGGATCACCTTTATCTTTGGCCATGCCAGACATTTCGATCAGCGTGTTGATAATAAGATCAGACGAACTACTTCACGTAAAAAAGAAAATTATGTCTGGGGGTATCGCGGCTCCTGTATTGCACAAATGTACTGGCACGGAAAAAAAAAACTCTGAAAAAAAATTTGGCATAATTTCATTATTTTACAGTCGTATACTCGTTTGCTGCTATTATGGTTCTCATCCGTTGAAACTACGCGAGCTTACCTGTGTCTTACTTATTTAGACCTAAACAAAGACAAAGCTACGTACCTGTAGAATGCATTTTTCAACGTTAATTTACTTGTGGCTTTCTTTATGTAAGCAACGGTCAAATTTTCATTCGAGAAGCCCCTGTTTACCCGCGATCTGCCCTAATCGCTCGCTCGAAAAGACTTGGTTGTCCCAACTGATGTCTTAGCATAATCATTACAAGCACTATTCCAGAAAGAATAAAGATCTGGAAAGACAAATTGCAATAATCGTCGAACTATTATAGTTTAGCTAAGAGTTTTAGATTTATCATTTTCTCCACTTCCGGATTCCAAAGTTTCCCTGTTCAATGTCTCCCTAGCGCACCCAACCGGTACCGTCAGATCTCTGAGGCTCTCTTCTAAGTAGCGCTTCCACGAGTCCTTCATCATACCCATCATCAAAGGGTTATACCTGTTAGAAATCTAACGATAAGTGAAGCCGTCAGAAGCTGAGCGTCAAACCACGGAGCTGGGCTATATGATCAAACAATGCTATTGTCTTATACTTTGCACATTACAAGCAGTCAATTTTTGTCTACATTTTGAATATTAGCTTTTTTTCAACGTATTGATCTCGTAATACGTGCCACACATAATCGTATTGCAACACTTGTCTGGAAGGGGCAGACGGAGAGGCACCTACACATACAAATGCACGTAGACATGTTGCACAAACTTGGGTGATAATCAAAAGTAGTAGATTGGACGCAATCGTGAATCGAAGTTGTGAAACAGGACCTTCTATAAAGTGGGACAACCTGTATCTCTCACTACTTACTATCATAGTTAATAGGTATTTCAACGGCAGTCTGATGCAATAGTGCTTCCATGAAATTGCATATCTGCTTCTGCTTGATCTAATCAATTTAGGCGAACGTTGCCATTCGGAGACGGCAAAGTGTGCAGCAGTAGCTGTTTTCTTGACCAGCATCATTAAATGTCAATGATCTTTAGTCCAATATGCGGTACGGGCTGCCGCCAACGTGAAATTTCGCCTATAATTCGTATAATTCCTTACCCCGAAAATGGTAGAAAGAGGATGTGTGTTACGCGCAAATCCTTCTATAGAATAGACTTTTCATTCGGTTTATTTCCATATTTACGGATTATGGCTAGGCAGCGTTAGCCGCAAGGTACGGTTGAATAGTAAGCATCCGTTTGCAATAGGTTAGTTCGTGTCTAGACAATCGCTATTTCGCAAACCCAGTAATTTGGTTCATTTGAAATTTGGGCGGACAGGGTTTCTTTGTCTAAATAAACACCTTAGCTCACTGTTATTAAGTACTGCTGCAGACAGCTGGCCCCCAGACAAAACGAACTGTGTTTATAGTCATTTTCGAGCCACCACATGTCTCTAAATTTAGTAAGCAAATTACCTTTGCAATATCAGATGGACGCTTAACGCTCCGTCTGGAGGGTACGTACAGCACCCACGCGTCCACGGACGATAACGTAAATAACCATCCTCGTTCAAGATGCTACATGATGCACGATTTGTTTCTATTTCTAGCAGTAGTACGTAGCGGCGTACGCATAAATGGCAACCTAGGTTTCGTGGGAACAGCGGTTAATGTACTCACTCTTGAGTACCCCAGTCAAGGATAATGGCGACAAATTTTCACCAAGACACTATTTTATACAGATATAAAAGGGCGGTTTCGGTCTTGACGTAACTTGAGAAGGGCATGGCAGAAAGCTTTGCTACATTCAGGGCAACAGTTCGGATATTCATCAGTATGGAGGAAACGGTTTCTTTGATCTGCTCGGATGTAGACAAAAGACTGGGTTCTAAGGATCCCAACCTTTTAACAACTAATAGCTTTAAATATTATTTTGGAGCCAGGTGAAACATGAAACAACAGCGAAGGTTGTGATGTACCATTAAATTCATAGAGGCGAAATTTCCTATTTCGCATGCTTGTTTTTTTCCACTAAGAAAAGCTCCTTCTGACCACCTCAAGAGATCTATTCCTTTCCTTGCATCTGGCATACGCTGTCAGTATATCATTTGATGTTTGGCACCAACGTCCCTTGCATCCTGCCAAGCACCAAATAAGTTTTTGGTAAGCTCTCAAAAAAAAGGTATGTCTATCTATCTATCGTCTTCTGACCGACTAATGTATTCAGTTAGAAGCATCTCTAAACGATATTAAATTTGGATAGTATCCGTTAGCAACGACATTTGCTGAAGTAGTTAGTTTCGCTGTTTCAATATAAATGCCTTTTTCTTATATGTATCTATCATACATAACAAATAATAACTTTTGGCAAGTCCATAAGATTTTATTCAAATAAATCTATATAAATGTTATGTTTACTATACAAAAGAAAAAAGTCGCATGGGTATACAGATTGTGCTGTACACTGACTGTAATACAAATAGTCTAAATCTAAACATGATGCTTTATTTCTCCGAAAGTCTCGAGCGAAGAATAACCGTCATGCCAATTGGTGTATTTTTTTTTTCGGCCTTTTGTTTATGTTGTAAGCTTCGGCATGTAGTTCGTTTTTTAAATTTGATTATTATGTACGCCTTAATATGTAGTCTATGTGTATGTATGTTATTATAAGTCATTATGTAACTATAATGAGGTTACACGGGAAAATTTGCCGTGCCACATACGGCGTTGCACGTTCTAGCATCGGTACACACCGTTTAAATAATAAGATGCAAATATTTAAAATGAGATTGGCTCCATATGAGCTATATGACTTTGTGCTTAACAAATGGCTGCTCCTGTGTTTCAGGTGTGGAAAAAGACTGGCGCTTGGTTTTTTAAAGGTCTTCCTGGCTACGCTTTTGAGGCAATTGAAAGAGAGCGTAGGGCAAGATTCAACGCACAAAACTATAGCCAATCAAATCCTATTCAGGTCAGTGGCGGCAAAATGCGGTGACATTTGACAACAAACTATGCAAGCCCGTTATAATCTAATTCCTCAGATAATATTTTCCTAGTTTAGTAAAGTTTGTTACACGCTTTGGGGCATCACATGTGTGTTATATACAGTGTAGATATGGTAACAGGTGTGGTAGAAGATAAATTTTTTTTCACACCAATTAGTTTATATCTGTGTAACAATTTATGTGTCCTGCGATAATGCTATACCGATCCGAGACGTGTTTTGCAACACAGCGTCGGACTTTGCACTCTGAACCGCCATTTGGATCGTCTCTCGACTAGAAATGTCAGCATTTATACATACATAACATATCGTATATAACCGTCATAGAAGATGCCCAAAGAAAACATGGGGTTCACATTTACGTCACTGACGTGCTTGGATTGGTTACTTGCAACCCAGATTTCAACCTGTGCACATCAGTCGCGCACATATATGTTATTTGTTTATTCAGGGTTATCTTTTGCTACCCTGAGTGTTTCCCCTTTGTGACAAGATCAAGCGGTCCACGATAGCTGTTTAATCTTAACATTACTCCGATACTAAAGTACCTCACTTTGGATTGCCCTCAATAGCAAAGTCCGACAGCAAATAATAGCATCGGCGGATTTGTCCTCGCGTCCCGGATTCGGATGTCCGCGGATTGATACGCACTAACGTGAGGGACTATACCTTCCTAGCTAGGGACACGATTGTCTCTAAAACCATCTAATACAATGGGACACGCAAGTAACGCTTAAAGTTGTACCACTATGCTAGTTCAGTTCTGTACTCTTGAAGTTTATAGCAGGAAATGTATAAGTAGATATGTGTAACAATCTGAGCCCGCTCAGCAAACCTTCTCAGCGCTTAGAGTGAACTTCGGGCGGGTTGCCCGTTCAAAGGTCCAGCTTGTGCAAATGCCGCCAAAATACCTGCCAAATTGCGCAACCATACATGACCCACATCGACGAATGATAATATCTAAGAGGGCTTCATATATCGATATACCTTACGTATTGATGTAAAAAAATATAGGCTTAAACCAAGACTTGACCATTGGTGTAAACCAAATATTTATAAAATCAATCGAGAGCAGCTGCTTGATATGGGAGAATATAAACTTTTTGCTTTTATAAAGTCAGATTTTCGTATAGGTCGCAAGAGTCCTAAAAAAACATGATGGTATACCTTTTCGTATTCTAGAACACTGGTAACGATCTGCTGAGGAGATTCGTGGCTGAACTAGAGCAAGTGTATATTTATTTGCAGAACGAACATGCTCCAACTTCCATCTATCACAGGTCTAGGTAAAAAATTCATGTGATGCCCAAAAAGTAATCATTGTCACTGGCTTACTATTAGTTTATACTATCACCCACAAGATTGAAGGCAGTATTGCGTTGTAGGAATTTAAAATGTCTTGTCTTGCAGTCAACCTTTTTTTTTTTTTTTTTTTTTTATTTTTACAGTTATAACAGTTTCGTTTATCTGCATTTAGTGAATTTTTGTGAAAAGTGCTTAAACTAAGCATATTGGGGAACGTATTTCGTCTTTTGGCGCTTACTTTCCTATGTTTTTAATAGACAAAGCGTTCTGAAGCACGAAGATGGTATTTTCCCAGCAGATCGGACAAAATCATATCGGAAGTGTTGTATGAAGTGTAGTAACAGTTATATCTCGAGTATTTGAGAAACAAGTCAATTCTAGCAGGCTAGCAGCTGTAAACTTTTGATGCTTTTTGCAAGCATTCGGTGGTCGTACATATCCCTAATACGTTGAGAAATGGATACCTTTTTCGCAAAATTGCCCACCAACTATACGTTGCCTGCGGTAACCAAAGGCTACACTGCGATTCCATCTACATGCGCTAAATTTATGCAGCACTAATTTGATAACCACTTCGACCTTGAGGCGACGTGAATTGTTGTGCGTATGGGAACAAACTCACTGTAATTGATCTATTGTCTTTCCTAAACAAAGGTTAAGGTTTAAACCTGTAATGTTAACTCCAGTTCAATACAAGTCCAAGGTCTGTTTTCGGGCTAAACAACCTTACTTTTAGAGCTGATCTACAACACACTACTTGATCTGTTAGGGTAACACACTTCTTGTGTGGGTCTTTAACTAATCAGACCTGATTAAATAGGTAGACATATAAGTACATAAAATTATATTAGTATATAAACATGCTATGTATAAACAGGCAATGTCATGCGGTTGTACCACGTAAATCCTAGTCAAAACACAAATACCAGCACGAAACTTGATCCTTTTAGCTAAGTTCGAGTGTCTAAAAAACGTAAAGTGCATATTTTCAGGTTTCCATTGGTTCGTCCAGTATAGGTATACGTCGTAACAAATACGTTGTATAATTAGTTAGCCTTAACTCTATATAGTACGGCTTAGAGAGTCCACGTTAAAATCTGGTTTCGTATTAATAGAGATCTAAACTGATATGTGTCGGCCATGTCGAAATAGGGCGAAACTTCATTCCGTGTGATTTGCGCAGTATACAAACTCTTGGAAAAAAAACCTGCTCTTACAATAAAGAAAATGTACCTAAAGAGTGGTAAAAGGCTCAAACTTACTCAAAAAATCCCGTGTGGAACGGGAACGATTACCAATGTGCTACCGTATGGAGCACGACGCTGTAATGGCTGTCTCACGCCAGCGAGCATTGAATCAAAATGAAGTCCGTCGGCAAAAAGAGCTCCTTGTGACCTGCACGTTGGCACATAGAGATTCCTACATACATAAGACAGATTAGATAAGGCTTAGAAGAAACGAACCAACGTATTCTTCAGGGCGCTTCCGCATACGGTAGTATCAACGCGTTGAAATTTTCTAATGGTGGTAAGTGCTGCATAGTTATCACTGATGTCGCAAACCAGATCTCAGAAGTATACGGGGTACAATCAAAAAGTCAGAGGGAAAAATCTAAAAATGAACTGCAAGTAGACAAAAAGGAAAGTAACGAACTGCTTTCACACTCTCAGAACATCCCACCAAGTCTCACAGGTATGCTACCAAGTATCTGACAAAAGAAGCCTTACGTGTAAAAAGGATATATAGTATGATCGTGGATTTGCACAGACAAATACCTACCACGGTGAATGCGTAATAACCATGAAAATGGCTTTATGAAGGCATGCACTGGCCATGCTAGGGAAGTCATCGCAACATTTTTAGGCGGCAATTTTATTAGGGCTGTTGTCAGACGGATATCCCCACTTGAAATTGAAGTGTCCACATGATCACCTAACGTACACCTAATGTAGGCATCCTCTTTAGTAACTCTCTATACAATGTTTTTGTCTGGCTGTTTTCCTATCCGCTCAGTCTTTACTGTGTTGCTGATCTCACTTAGGCGTTGAGCTTTGCTTCTGCCAAGAAAACTTGCTCAAGATTCAAATGTTTCCCCATTTAAAAGTTATGACTGCTTAACCCATGCTCAAACACCCGCAAGTATTTTAGAGTTCCCTGATTTTCAGTATCCAGGCCAAAACTTGTTAAGTTTGCACTTTCAAGCCTATTACAAAAGTGCATAATTATATAAATACGTCGATTTTGACAAAATGTACATGAATTATTTCAATTCGAACCGCCGTCCTTTAGCTTAGCCATATTATAATGGTCGAATACGTGAAATAGCGGCGAGAAGTATTGTTCTAGAATTAATCTGTGAAGTGCATAGGTGACGCACCTGTTTCTGTGGTGATTTAGTGAAATTAAGTTAAATATGATCGAAATTCGACGCCCTCAATATATCTTTAAACTGATAACGTTCTAGTAGTCATACTGTGGTATAAACGAATGGCCTAATTTTCTTTTCTAACTAAAACTTTCGAGTTTTGACCTTTTGAATCGTTCGTTCTATCGATCTTCTAAGCGTAACATCTATACTAGCCGACCTTTATCGTATTCTAGAGGGGCTGATACTGAACAGTTTTGACGCTTTCAAAGATATGTTCAATTTATGACGAAAGCGAACGTGACGCCGTAAAAAACCTCATTTATTACTTAATAACCTTGTGTGTTCCTAGCAAATTCATACGTTCCTCACATGTTCTTTCGTCACGTCGATGGCATTAACAAGGTAGAAGAATGAAGGTTGTCCAAAATCAGTTTACTTAGTAGAATGATTTTTGGTAGTGGTGCAGTCTGGTCCAAAAAACGCCGGTTTTGTAAAATACACTAACAACTGGCATTCTACAATGAAAATTAAAAATGTTTCTTCTTAATTTTTTTTCTACTTGCTTGTTGTGCCACGCGATAATTAAAATGATTCACTTATTATTCCGAAATTATTTTATCTATGTTTTTCGAGAATATACTTCCTTACCGTTCTTCTAAACCTATCTCCTACACACCAGAAAATAAAAAAAGGCATGCAATAAACTGTATACAAGATTCTCTTAGTAAATATAAAACATGTTGAGGTTCTGTTAATATTTTCAAATCTCATTTAAATATAGCTATGACTAGATGATACACAACAGGTTTTGTAAAATGGCCCAAGCATCTCCAACGTAATTACGTATCTGGCAGAGGGTTTTATACACTCATTTGTTGCAGCTTCCTTTGTGATCGTTTTCAAGGAAATTCTCTAACAGTACTGGCCTTGGTGCAACCCTGGGTGGCAACCCTGAGTCAGTCGAACGATTTCAAAGGATTCATGCACCAATGTACCGTGAACACAACACAACCTGTTTGTGAGAAAACATTGCCATATAGAGAAAATAACAGATGCTTCCAGTGGTCGCAACATTGTTTAACGCGAACACTTTATTAATCGAAGCTTAAAAGTTGCTTAAATGTAAAGTCGGCCTGCTATCCGGAATCATACCTCAAAAGTCGCCTCGAAAGTTCGAAGTCACCTTTTTCTGTAGTACTTTACGGAATGGGGTTATAAACCATCAAAAAGAGACAAAAAACAAAAGCGTTAAGGTTAGTGTTTCGAAACTACTGTCTCATTTCTCTCATTTGATATTCCTCCTCGCAAGGCAAAGCTGAAAACATCTTACTGATGACCATGATTGACTCCCAATTAACGTATATGAGAAGCGTCATATTGTAACGAGAACACACAGATTTTCTGAATTGCCTTTAGAGACCATTGAAGGAGATAAACGGACGAAAGCGCTACGAAGCTAGAAACGCTTAAACCCCTTTATAGAAACTCGTTTTCTCCATAGTTTATCAATTTCTAAATCAAGCAGTTAATAATAAGACGGTGTATCATAGAGGCTTATCGAAACCTATTAGCAAAAAAGTGTACATTTTATTGCTTGTAAGTGAAGTTCGAGTGGAGCAGTGCTGCTTAAATAAATAGTAGACCCGTTTTTTTTTTTTGAAACTGTGGGTAGAGTCTCACGTTCAGCACAGCAAGTCACATTTTTGTGTTATTAGATTAGATTTTTTCAACAAAAACGAAACCCACGCCGTCCATCTGCCCTAGAAGAAGATACGTTTTCCACCACTGCACCATGTTTATAAAAACAAAATGTATTTGCCTAATATATTTCCTTTCGACGTATATGTAGCAAAGCTACAACAAGACGAGCTTTAGTTTTATATATTGTCGTGGTAATAATGTTTTAAATAACTTCACTGCACAACGTGCCGTGAAAGACTACTGTGTCCTGCCCAGTGCCTTATCCCCATTTTAAACTGTCATTACCTATCCCGATAAAATCGTTGCAAATGCTAGAAAGCCAAATTTCTATAGCACATGCCGTTTTGTACAAGTTAAATCTGGGATACCCCCATAGACATTAAATCTTAACTATATGTAAGGCTAGGTAAAGGCCAGTTTTGTTTAGGTAAACGAAAAGTTTTTAGAAACACCTAGCTGAAATTAACAAAGCTCAATATGCTGGCCGTTCGTTCACCGAAAAATTCTAGTGAATGATTGAAAAAACCAAATGCGTGGATAAAAGTAAAATATGTTTTAATGTGAACTTCCGTTAAACTAGAGAACACGATTATTTTTATTAAAAACGTTAAGAAAAATATGGCTAAAAACAAGTACTGATTTCGTTCTTGGCTGGTCTGAGGAGGCTGTCATAGCTAACAGTTTTTTAGTTACTATTATCAAAAGACTATAAATAAATACTACGAATTCGCATTTACTCATTCCATTATATGGGGTTAAATTTAGTAAGCACTGTCATGTGTCTAGAGCTTTACTTAAGGTCGTTTTGTTTTGGCCAGTTTGTGGCCACAACTGGAGTTTCCAGAAGGAACGGTAAGGTGTTTTTAACAGGCTCCCATTTTTTAAATAGATCATAAGGCTATGTTTGCACACACCATCAGTATTTTATTTTATAGTCCTGATCATCAAGTTTACTACTTCTATTTCATGTACAAGTCACTTCATTACCGATGCACGGGTTGGATATCAAACTGCGGACACCCGATTGAGTTAGTGTGCATCTGGGAACGGCTTCGTTGATTACGATGTGTTCGGAAACTCTAGTCCATGCCAATAGTTTTTGCCCCATTAGGATACAGCCAAAACAAATCGAACCGAATCTTGCATTCATCATCCGAAACACGCGCTGTTGGTATAGCATACGCAAGATCTGCGGTAAAACAGGCCGCATGGTCTGAATATTCGAACAACAGAGCTACGGCATTTAGACACGAACATTTTTGCAAGGAAGCCCCACTTATCGTCGAAAACCAACTGTTCTATTTGCTTTCCGGCAACCCAAGCCAGCAAGCTTCTGCTGGGAGGTAAGGCTGCAATTAACTAGCTGAATCAAGAAAAGAAGCGTCTCGATACTTAGTCTACATCTGGCATTTGTAGCTCATCAAAATATCTCCTTAACCCTATTTATAATCAACATAATGTAAATGTGGATGCATGAGAAAATTTAGCAGAATTGTGAATCATAATCCGTCAACGGCAAGCGCAGATCTTCAATAGTATAGCTAAGTGATACTCATCATGGAACAAAAACTAAGCTGATTGCTCAAAAAAATTGCAGGGTTACGACCAACTGCGCTAGGATACCTAGTAATAATAGTAATAAACTAAATAGAAATAGATTACCATAACTCGCCAGCTATCCCTACATGATAATTATAGTCGATCGGTAGCCTACCCCACTCCGGTAGTTCGCACAGAATAAATGTCCGATTTGAATTGGCGCGCGACGATCGTCATGATTAAACGAACTCACGTTTATAGACATTTCAATGCGTCCTGCAATGCAATTATTCTATGCGTAAGTTTCAGATAAAACTGCAATAGGACACTCTAACTAGAGGAGTATCCTGCCTTATCGTAGCCTTGTTCGGCCATATTATAGCTGTGTTCGATTCATGTTCGTGACTTTAATATCACTGTCTTGATATTAGGGATAGATTGGTCCTGAAATTGTCTCTCTTAATTAAACACGCTATGCCTATAGTCACATACTTGGATATTTTCCAACAGTGTATATACTGTTGTAGTTCCTTCGGTAAAGAAAGAAGTAGGATTAACCTGACCATTTAAATTGTCAGTGACAGAATTACGTTTTCCAGTGTATCCAATTCGCTTGTAGGCAAATTTTTAGCCTCGGTTTTGTTCGCCTTGTTCGGTTCGAAGCGTTAAAAGCCTTCTTGACCTTTGGGGTACATGCTCAATAGAACGCTTTATAGCCTGTATTGGAAATTTGTTCTCACAAATGCACTTTTACATTAACTTCAGAGTTTAACAAAGTAAAAGAGCTCCGATATCTTTAAGAAAACGGCCAACAGTCTTCACTAACGTGTAAACCTTCATTCTACGACTAAGATAGACAAATTAACTTGCATCTAGTTGATAATTGGTAAACTATAACATAAATCTATAGCACATGGGAAATAATATTGTGCAACACAGTAAAAACTTGTATTCCAGCTTTGGTATCACAGCTTTACAGACGCTACTTTATCGTATTGTTACGTCGACTGTTTGTCTCTACATATTTACAGATGATTCGTTATAGCGAACGGTATAAAAATCATTCAGAGTCCTCAACTCCAGGAATGACTCCTGCTGCGAGCCAGATCGACATTAAGAAGACACTCCACGTATCTGACTCTGGTAAGTACTCTCTTTCTAGTTGATGTGCACAAAATCTATATCAATTCAAACGTTAAATCAATGTATGCATGGCTAGATTCAAAGTTGGCCGCTTTTACAATAGGCTGTGTCACTGACTAGAGAATTCCTGTAATCGTGCAATTAATACGGGTACAATCAATTTTGGCAATTTCTGCTGCGTGTTGTACACATTTTTGAGCCAAGCGATCTTACTGGATTCCAAATTGGGACCTGGTCTTAAGCGAGATTCGCACGTTTTGGATGGTTATAGAATTTGAAAATTGTCTCCTGTAGAGGCGTAACGAATCGTTTTTAGGTAAGCTTTTCAAGATTGGCTGAGATTTCCGCCTGAAATTCACACAGGCCAAATTTCCGACAGAAATGCATGAGCTAAGGTCAATAGTGGAGTCAACTTCTCCGTCCATTTGGCACACAAATAACTTGCACAACTATTGCGGAGTTGATCAATGGTCAGTGCATCTTCGATGAATGGCGCAGAAAGGTACGGATATGCTGTAGACTTTCCCTCTTTAGACTGAGTCTTATTGCTTTAAACTGAAATGGTATTAATGGTCTGAAAATTGGATCCGAAGGATTGCTACTATCTAATATTGCTTATATCTTGTTTCGTTATTGCATGAACATCCCTGTGTTATTAGTTTTAAGTTGGTTTTTGGAAAAAGCCAGTCACAACTAAATGTCATCAGATTGCTGCGTTAGCTGGTGGACTCAACAGATATCCATTCTCCTTAGAGCTATGGAGTCGACCTTGAGGGCAGTGCCTAGAGTGCTTCGGTGATTTTTCGAATCTATTTACATTTAGGCGTGTGGCCAAAAAGAACACTACAGCTTAACTCACTAACGGTATTTACATCATGGACTGCCTGCACAGAATTCCGCCTAGAAGAATAGAGACATAAAAGAAGATAAAATATGTTCGTAAAGATTCTGCTCGCTGTTTTATACGCTATAATCGGCCTGTAATGCCATCGGACGTCGAGAAGAGGCACTTTTGGAAATAAATACCGTTTCATAAAAATTTTCAATTAAAATAATTAATTCCGCCCCTTCAAGGAACACCACTTCCAAAAAAAATGAAAAATCTACCGAATGACCTAATGGTTTGTGCTAGTATTACAGAAATTCACGGTTTCTAGTTCGAATCCGGCAAGACGCATCGACGTGTTTGTCTACTGACAATTGATTTTTGTCGATAAAGTAGTATTATTGTTCATATTGTGAGCAAAAACTAAGCCGGATAATATGTAGTTATGGTTTATAAAACTATTTGTGTAAGGACTGACTTCTCCAGATGGATTGTGGCGCATAGAGGAATTTTATCTGTGGTATAGTATATTCAGTACATGTGAAAAGAATTTTGCAATTCTTCTTTCAATGATTAAAAAAATGCTAAACTTTGTTTTAGACATGATATGGCGGAACTCATACGATGAAAGTACGACGTACTATTAGAAATTAAAAATACAGCTAATACTCAATACATTAGAGCAAATGCATGCTATTCGTTGAGAAAGGTGGGCCGGTACGTCATTTACCGTATCTCAGGGCCAGAAGTACAAATAATACTTCTATTTCCATGTTATGCGGCGCGAACACTCTGTCTTATTAAAACTGTAACGTGTCGAAAACTCTGCATTATTGCTACACGCCTTCTTTACGTATTGACCCGAATTTGCTACAGACGACTCGAGTGATGATTCATTAGGAGAAAGTGCCCGCCAAATAGTTGAGCCAGAAAGTGCAGGACAAGCTAATGTTTGCGTCGGCGCATCACCGCAGTCGGTAGCCACGCGACATCACTCCGCTTCCGTAAGTTGACAAGACAAACATATATTTCTTGATAAAACATAATTTCAAGATGCTTATTTAGTAAGGTAATGTTGTAGAACAAGCTTCTTATTTGTAAAATAGTGTTAGCTATTTGTCCTTAGTTCGGCAGCGCCATCTACGGATTGCCGTGTCGATGATTTGTCGTAATGTCTTCTTATTTTTACTTTATTGCAGAATTCCCTACAACGGAGTTCATACAATTTAGCTGTTCGCAAAGAGGGAGGAAATATGAACTTTGGAACAATAGCTGAACACGTTTGATTTTGTTTTTATGGCTGCTGCTTTTTCTCCTAGAGTAGAATGTCAGCCTACCAGCTTCGTGTCTAACTTGCCACTAACAAACTAAGAAAAAACACATTTTATCTCATAATGATATTTTCAATAAAGGTCTACTTCACGTGTACTTTGGGCTACTTTGGGAAGAACATTTTTAAATGCTATGGGAATAGCAATTCCTTATGACCTACTAATCAGTCGTATTCGCCTTTTGTACGAATATTCTCCGATAAACAACCCTCAAGGGAGACAAAAAATATTTACTAAATTTATACAAATTTACTACGTTCATCATTAAATACAAGCTACATTCTTCGTTTGCCGATTGATACGTTTAGGTTATCGAAGCTGGTCTACTAACAGGTGAAACATCATCGGCATCTGCTGGGGGTGGCGGCCACAAAAGGGCTCTTCGATCTACAAATTCAGCGGGGTCATTTACGTCGACGGGTACGAACTCAGAATCACTCCTAAACGGTCCTACTGGCTCGACGTCCAACTTGTCAATGTCGATTGATTCCCTCGCGCACGCCCTCGACAGCGCTGCAGCCGCTAACGGAGTTGCGATTCAGACAACTTCCTCCAACGAAATTCAAGGTAATTCGTTCTTGAATTTGTCGCATAACTAAGGAACAACATGAAAACAACAAATACTATTTTCATATTGTAGTTTCACAAAATTATTGTTTTCGAGCTTACTTTTTGTCCCCGAAAATGTATATTATCTGATAAGAGAAGCAAGTACTATAACACCTCGAGAATATTTTTGAAATTGACGTCAAAAGCTATATATCTATAACGAAAAATACGACACATCTACATAGGAAATGGTTCACACAAAAAACAGAAGATGTCCATATACAAACGTATCCGTAAGTCGTTCCGCAATGCGACGATCGGACATGCTCTAAGCTTCAACTACTCATCATCGCATCAAATGCCTCGCATCGGGCCCCGTGAGCACTCTGCCCAGGACCAACATTTAGATGCTCCCAACATATCCAGACGACTTTCTACAACTGACGACCTCAAATATAGTGAACTGTGAATGTATATATATATATATATATATATTGGTGGAATGGGCAAATCATGTCAGCCAAATTTACTATAAATTCAACAATATAATAGCTGTACTAGTATTAACTATTGAGTTCTGTCAAAAAGCAACAGCAACGTGCGTTCACGGATAATGAGAAACGTAAACACCTCAACCCTCTTATTCGAGGCCCTATGTTAACTGTCAAAAACAGATAACGTAAGAATATCAAGTTCTATATTAGCTTTCAGAAGACAATACGCAATTAACGAAATTAAATTTCAAATAGAATTCCGTTAATATCGAACCAACTTACTCTTTCCTATCGAATTCATCTTTCGTGCTTGACAATCTTCACATATTTCCATATTCTTCGATTAAATTGTCCCAGATGCCATCGCGCTAGACATTCGCAACTGTTTTGTCATCAACCCAACTAACGGGTTGTTGTCAAATGTCATAGGAAACATTTGTGAGTTATGATCTAGTGATACGAAATTTTGCAGAGGCATTACCAGTTTGTATACCACTATATGCATACATCCGTGGTAAATGACACCTTTTTAATAAACAGAAGAACCAACCTACACGCATACACAGTGTTACATAAATACAGGAACGATATGAAATTCCAGTGCTAGGAGTTTGAGTTAACTTTAAACTGCAGTTGATAAAAAGAATAAGTAAGATGTTGCTAAAAATAGCCTAATAGCGTTCTTGAGGTTCCTGCTATTAACTGTCGTCATTTTGAGATAGGCTAAAAATCACTCGGTGTGTACAACCACTCTATTTTATATCGATATTATAGTTTTTCGAAAATATATCGAAATATGTAGAAAAAGAAACGAGTATAACGAGACCGTCATATGCGCTCTGTTCCGTATTCGTCAAGATCACTGTATTGCAAAGAAACAACCACATTTTCACCAAAAGCGTCTACACTTTATTTTATTTTATATTTATAGCTTGCGTAAAGACATTAGTCACTGCTTTTCTGTCATCTTCCACATTTCTACCGTACCTTTCGATTATCGATTATCTACCGATGTTTTGTCCTATGTGATTGCTAACTCGCGTTTGTCTCCTACAAGGAGCTTATTTGAAACGCCAGTATAGGCATAGCCGAGAGCCCATACAACACAACACGAAGTGGTCCTCTTTTTCAAAACTAACCGTTATGCTGTTCCTGTTGGTCAATCCCATAAACTTGTATGATATAGTATTGTTTAAGCGAAACGAGCGAATCAAATCATTCACGCGCTACTTCTTCATATCTGATCTATGGAAATATTATAATCTATAATTAGTCAACTCATCCATTTATATGTCTTTGCACGTTTGAATGTAATGCTTTTAAAACTAATTCGGTTTTCAGTTAGATGGCCGAGAGCCTGATTTTTTTCGTTTCCACTAATACGATGTTTTGTTGTGGAAAGCTCTTGTGTCACTATTAGCAGTTGTGTCGACAAATGTGAATAATTCTGGTAATATGACGAAGTTAGAGGTTTACTCAGCCATTAAGCCATACTATGTAAATTAGATTGTTGTCTTATCGTCACATCATAAGCTTATTAAGATTTAAGTCCAAATTTTGCATATCCGTAATTAAATACTCAGGTATAACAACTTGCCAAAATTGGCCTTTCTTCCGATTTGCAGTAATGAATATTGGTGCATTTAATAGGCTCTTCAGATGAGCGTTTTTAGCTGATAACCACAACAGTATAGAAAACACACATCTAGTGTTCCCTGAATCCGCGCAAATATAAGGTCGGATGGCGCTTCTTTATTAACACACAAGAATCGCTTTCTAGCAACATGTCGCCATGCATGTGCGCATCAAGCGTACCGAACGAAATATTTAGAAAAACTGAAGCTATTGTGGGTAATGATTGAACTTGATGTCCCTATGGGAAGAACATGGCCAAAGGAGCATGCGTGCATGCATAAGTACCAAGTTTCACCCTTTTATATGTGGTAACAGTTAATATTTGTGAATGAGTGTGACGGTAATGACACTAATATGTAATAGTAATATAATGAACGATAACAATAATCAAGAAGCTAGCCTTTATTTTATATCTTCATATTAGTATCGGTGTAGGTTTGTCAAATGGATACCCACTAAATATTTGGTATGAACAAAATAAACAAACTTTGATGTCGTATATAAACGTCTATAATGTTTTTGAAAATATATCTAGGTCTAAACCCAATTATCTTAATTTATACTAAGATCATTTGGGGCATTAAAATCTTTTGGGACAGCGCCCGAAGTCATCATAGCAGCTTCGCGAATAGGTTTTTGAACAAATACGTCTGAAAAACTTTCACTTGTTTTGTGCTCGATTATTAAATCGTAGACTTAATTAAGCAGCTAGTTAATACGTCTTAATAGACTACTTTCACTGATTATTAGATCATAGACTACATTAAACAGCTAGTTAATACTTTTTAATAGACTACTTTCACTTTGTCATTCTAAACGAAATTTGATATTTTTTAAATTACGAAAGATTCAAAAAGTATAGTTACGATTTTATCCAAAGTTACGATGTCAAAACTGCATTTCTGGTTTATACAGGTATGGTAGTCTGCCTTCTTACTACACATAGTTAGTCATTTCATTTCCTTCAGTTTTCTTTTTTACCGAATAACATGTATATTTATACATCTTATACCTAATTGACAACTTTCATAGATTTAGTAGTAAGTAGATTATTTTAATGTCTTATATAAATGAAAGTAACGAACAAATGCTTGCTCCATTACGTCTGTCGTCGATGAGATAATTAGTATCCATCGATATTTCTACGTGTCCTATTTCAACTGAAAAAAGCAGCAGATGTTCCCGAGGCCGCCAATTATTGTTCGAAGTCGATCTTCCATCCATTATTGAATTTAACATTCTGTATTTCGCTGTCACTGCTATTATGTCCGGCTGTCCGCTAATATCAAATACTAGTTTCACCTTCGATGGATGTGTCACCAGACAGGTATGTCGATACGACTTTTTTCAGTGAGGTCCTACTTTCATACGTCCTTGGGATGAATAACTGCGTTTGTTGTAGGGTTGTACGGGCTTATAGTGCTTTGTATTTTGCTGCCTCGGGGTGTTAGAGCTATAACTGTTAAAATTAACACGATAAAAGTGAGGAACACAAAAAAGAGCAGCACGCAGATGATAAGAGCGCGACCTCCACGCATAATTTCGAATCGCTAGAACGGATCAACGTCCAATTTGAGGATAGAGTAGTAGTCACAATGCAAGAAAAGTTTCGAAGCCACGGCAAAGTGTTAATGTAGCCTTAGTAGACCCAGAACAGATCGGATGTTGCATTCAGCGAACAAAGGGTCAAAGTAAACAAACGATTAACTCCCAACTTTATAATAGAATTGCTTCAACTTCGTCATTTACACACGTAGGCTGCTCAAAGACCACGAGATATGACATCTAATATTACATATGTATAAATGCTACGAAACACATGCAAAAACGTAGTGAATTTCTAAAGATTCATTGAATACCTTATCTTGTAGTACATACTATGGAGATACAGACAAAAGTTCTGACTTCTATAGAAGTCGGATATAATAGAAATTGAAAGAAAGTGTGTGCTGGAAACATCCCATTGAGATCAGACATGGAAATTGCTACATAAAATTATACAAAGACTTAATAAACACAGACATTTTTTTATCTGTTTATACGGTACTTAGGAGTACGTTTTCTTATATACAGAGTTGACGATTGTCTTAAATCTTTTGTGTGACCAAATTTTTATATCAATTATTATTTATTATATATATCAGAGACTTACGAATCATACGACCGCAAGATATTCCGCTCATATAAGCCACAAGGTTTCATTACGCTGTGTGAGCATTATTTTATACTTCTAGGCTACTATTATAACCACTGCTATCATTGCATGTCTTTATTAATATTATTCTTCGCATTTTATGCGATTATTATATATCACCGTAAAAATTTAGTTTTTTCTGAAAGTATGTGGGCCCTGCGCCCCATTTCCTTGAAAAAGTCATTATCTATATACAATGTAAGTCGGGATGTTGTCTTAAAAAAGTAACTATCGTAAGATTTTTTTAGTGTGTTTTGAGTTGAACCAGTCTACGCCGCTCAGGGATGCCTTCGTCAACGATTTGAACTGTTCATAGTGAATCGTAAAGCAAAACAGATTTACGACTGTTTCCGTCCAAAATCAGTGGTTTCAAAAAACCTCCACAAAAACCCTCCACTCGCTGATACCAGATCAGATTTAATCAATAACACGCGCAGACAAAAGTCTGATGTACAAAAATGATTAATTATCATGCAAACAAATGAAAACGCATCAAATTTCAACCGAAATAGTTGTTGGAATTGGCTTTATTTACTTCTTGGCCTTGGCCTTTTTCTCCTTCATGACCCTACGGGTTCCAGCTTTGATATAACGCAGATTACGCAGAAACTTCGGGTCGCATCCCTTCATCGACTCCTGAAAGAAATGAAGCGGAAATATGGCTCAAACGTGTAACGTAATCTTGACATCTTTAATACCCATTTTAAATTCGAAGCGCTGAAATAATCTAAAATTCTTATTAGGACTAATGAAGGTAATCTGCAGATATTCTATGCGAGACCCTACAATAGTTGATATTTACTACTATTAAAGACTAGATCCTTGGGGGCTTATAATCAGCTACATACAGCGTTTCCAGTCGATGTCATGCGGTTAGGTCAATGCAAAGGATCAGCCTAAGATTTTTAATGAATTTTCGTGTGATTGAAAGAATCAAGTATGTAAAACTGTGCACGCATGAATAAGTACGGCAAAACCATCTTACGGTACACAATACATTTAACTAGATATATATTTAACGACAAAAGATTTTTTCAGTGCAAGCAGCCTTCTAAAACAGCTCGAACATTCAAACAGGTTAGCTAAATAGAAGCTAAATAAAAGTGCTACAGAAACGAATAAATATCACCCAGGAGAACACCGTTGGCGGTCTGCTCTGCAGAACACCATCTACATTGAAACCACTGATCCCAACCCTGATAGTAACTTACGCATTCACAGTAGAGATGTTTTTTCATATCACATTTTCACCAATAGGCTGGAGACGAAAGTCTCCTTTTTGACCGGGGAGAAAGCAACAAATTTAATAAATGGAACAATCTGGTGCACATCATTTGATAGTTTTCCTCCCAACTTCCAAGTATATTGCTTCTAATTAAATCGTAATAATACTTAAACGTCCTTTTCAAATCAACCAACTAGAAGTTAGCAAGCCAGATATAGAGATAACGTTGGATTGGATTGGGTAGTCCTGCCGATTGAGCTTGTGCAAAAATGGTCAGTTATCACAATAATTTATTTCCGTAGGAGATCAGTACCGCTACGTCGCGCACGTGTACACTTAGCACAAACAGAATGACGACTGGAGAAGATTTTACTATGTACATTTTTATTTACGTTTAACGGCAGGGTTGATCGCGTAAGCTATACACCCGATTCTACACCTTGTATAAATGAGCCACACCGTTAATTCGTGCAAAATCAGCCCCTGCTTACCGTTTGATTGCGTTTCGGTTTTTTGATACCATTGCGGTGATCCTTTCTGTTATTGTGGTGTGAGGTGTGGTTCTTCGACTTGGCCATTTTTGACGCTTTTTCAAGCTTTTTCAGACAGTCCGACACGTGCCAAATGACCGGTCGCACAAAAAAGAAAATTCAACAGTTAACATGCGGCCTGATGCAGCTCAGCAAGCGCCAAGCGTCCCCCCAAAAAGGAATGAATGCTGAGAAGTTCTTGACCAATATGTCTGGTAATATTTAGAAAGTCACATAGGTGAAATCTTAAGCCTTCCTAGAACTGAAATAATGATACATAATGAAATGCATAGATATTTAGGTGAATACTCCACAGAAAATATAAGTTGGCTCCGGAGCTGCACCAAACCGCTAGTCGGTCCTTTGTGTGTAACGAGCACTCATTGGGCTAATGTCATGTCTTCCATATCGAAATTATAACGTGATGGACGAAGAACAGCTGATATATCTGGCTGTAGTCGGATTTCATCATTCAAAAGGATACCAAGTAAGAAATAGATTTAATTATATTCTAGTAATTCTCTAATAACTTTCCTTGACAGCAACTCATATGCAGATAGGTTGATGCTCGAATAATGAAATTGAAAAAATAAATTATTGCTGATAACCAGCATTCGACAGGCGAATCAAACGATTATACATTTCAATGTGGTTCGAGGTAAAGTAGTGTTCGACTTTACCGACCTTTTCTGAAATCTACCTATATGTCTATGTATAATATAACATTTTTCGACCTTGTAGTAATAAACAGAGTAGTGGAACAAACAAAAAAATACAAGAAACCTGATCTGAATAATCTGATCTGGGATATATATAATTCACGTGTTTTTACTAGTTCGCAAAACGCTTTTGTATATTTGAGGACTTGTTTTTATTCGCTTTATGTCTATGTCTTTTCTAAAGATATATGCATGAAAACTGCGTTTTTTATTTTTTGTGTAGTGCAAGTGCGTTAGTTAGTAAACCGGTTCCATTGATAATTGTCACCTAAAAACATGCGTCAATGATATTCCCCAACCTAATATTATTAAATGTTGCTAACTAGATTGTATGATCTACGCGTTTCATTATCTTAATAATAACTACAGAGAATAAAAGACTTTGTGAAAATGTTTGGTAAAGTATCGTTTCCGAGAAATTATCTGTATGGGGTAAGTGAGATATAAAACACAAGCTTAGCTACAGCTCAGATGTGCTGTTCAAATGTGTCAGATTTGGAAATAAAACACTGACCATTGTATTTAATAAAACATATGCGTACGTTGGTATTTCTGTGATACGGTCACATATAATTCAGAACTTAAATCGACTATGCCAATTTATGATATCTATCTTGTTATCTATTGCCGATTATGTTTTTAGTTCATTTTGTGATAAGTCTACAAGCACTCTGGATAGATTTTATAGAATAAAGATAGATAAGCATAGGTAAGTTAATGTACGTATTAGCGTTGACATGACGCGATCGTAAGCGCGTAATAGCAATTGGAGCGAGTTTTATTATGTAAGTGGCCTACGTGTGCTTCAAAAGATTATTACATCTGGACTAAGAATTTAAATCAAAATTTGCTTAAGAAGTAAAGCACAAAAAAAGATCTCCTTTTAAAGCTACCTCGTACAGTGGATTATTTGCAATGTAACGTTTCCTTCTTATCATTGTGCAGCTTCTCTATAGTGCATAGTATCGTTTGTTCGGGCTTGTTTTGTAGCGTAAAATGTGTATATATTAACGCCGTTACAACTATGAGTCGAAAGCTAGTTGCGTGTGCTATGATAGTTATATATGGCCATTGATCAAAATTACCCTTTTGTCTTAATGTTATAGAGCAATGTTAGAGCCCTGAGCGATAACCGGTCGTTTGATCTTCTATAACAGACATGTTGAAATCCTCAGACAAGAAAATGTTTGGCTCGTTATGAAATAGGCCAGACTTAAATATTAGGAACTAACTTTTCAGGAAAGAATTTCAGTTTTGCAAAAATATATTTCTGTTACTTTTTCACCAATTGATTTAACGTACTTGATTTAAGAGGAAGGACATTCACCTAACGAGAAAATCAATAGGACAGTAGGCGAAGGTTTCAAAGTAGTTGGTCAAAATTCAGTTCTTGTTTGTATAGATACTTCAATTTCCTATTAGAAATATGGGCAGAAACCGTAAGTGCCCACGTTCTAGTGACTATATCATTTTCTATACTTAGTTACTTTAGGTTTTTAACTATTTATATATAGATAGAGAATTTAATAGAAACACGACATTGTCGTCATCGGTTTAGTAAAAAATATCCACGCTATTTTCACTTTTCCTTCTTGCCAATGGGTATTATAGATTGAATTCTGCTACCCGGAGATTCGAGATGTTGACAACACCTGGATGTCGTCTTATTTGGCACCATTGGGCTTGCCAGATGGAGCTCACAATTTTGCCGCTGATACGGTATATTTTCGGTTTCGAGATGCCGAAAACCGGCCTGTTTGGGGCGTTTGTTCCTACAGACAGGTTGACTCAGCTTCTTACAAAGGTGTGTGCTCTAGATTATTAAGCTCAAGTGAACTCTACGTTTGTTAGACTTATGCTTCTCAAAAAAGACACAACTGTAAATTAAGAAGTAACAGTAAGTGCCTGACCTAATCCCACATGTTATCATAGATGTTTTTCTTACATAATCACTTATGATGTAGTAATGTCCCCATTAGGCTTACTCAAACAATAAAGCCTCACTCTTCTTTAGTAATTAACTACACAACAGAAAACGATATTCAGAGTTTCTTTTCGTAAGTTATATAATTCTTGTTGTATTGAGAGAAATTTTACCTCCGACTTTTTTGATATTACAGACGCCGACCCTGAGGTGACTCGTAGCGCAATTCAGAAATCTGTCTGCCTGGTCGGCCGTGGAGCATTACCTCCATGGCGGACTGCAGCTGCACGCCTCGAACCGATCGCGCATGCTTTCATACAGCATCAGGATAGCGAAGTCCTACATGGAGTTTACGACAGTCTCAAGACGGTCAGTGGTTCTACGCTGTATCGAAGTCTACAAGCGACGCTCTGTGATCCCCCAGCAATTAAAAATGAAGGCGGCGAATGTATAGCCAACGGACGCCGAAGGGTTATGGTCAGGAAGACAAGGCAGATCTACTAACTTTAATTTGGTTTATATTATATCACATTATATTGCAAAAAAGGTTATTCGCAATATAACTAATGTATTCTGTAGATCAAAGTAGAAGTCAGTTTGTTTGCCTTTAAAATCTCAAGAAATAATCTCAAGCATGGCTAAATAATAATTTTTTTGTTAGGTAGCTGCATGATTGTTAACTATTTGTCGATACGTTCATACTGTTTATGAACCATTTTGCTGATTTTTGAAAGTATTATGCATTTAGACTTCTTAACTAATACTACGCAGCATCTATAGTTTTACGTATGAATCATTAGAAAATAACCTTCCACCAAGCCTTACCAAAAAGCGTCGACGTAGGGTCATGCTATACTTGCCGCACACACATATAAAACAAATTCGCTTATCTCGAACTTTTAAACACTGAGAAAGCTTATGAATAATTCATCTTCTGGTTGAAGTTTTTTGCGAGCATTTATGATATATGAATATTTATTAAACAGACTATTTGGGTTGATTCTGCATTTCACTCTGCTCTTCGAACTAACGCTCGGCTATGATTGCAGATAGCTGACGTTCCTGATGAGCTTTTGTTAGAACTGCGTTCCGTGCTGGAGAAGTATGATACACGAATGCTGACATTGCTCAAGTTGCGTTTACTCGGCAAGAAAGTTCTATTCATGAGCTCTGACCTCCCCACCCAGCTCATGTGTTCTGAGGTACGAAAGGCCATCACGAACTAGATTTGCATCATCTCATCAGTGGATGAAATGACTTTTCATTTATATTTGCGTTAAAACCTGACATGGTGCATCCTTCTTCGTTTATGTTAAGTTCTTGAACCAGAATCACAGCACGCCATAAGATGCCTTGGGTCCAAGTAACAACAAGGCACTGAGTTTTCCCTATTCAGTGCATGTAATCATCGGTATAAATGTAATCATCACTAAAATGTGTCAGTAATCTGTGTCAAGTTGTAAACGTACTATAGGTGTACCTCTTATCTGATGTAACTGACAGATATTAGCACTAGAGGCCGCTGTTCCGGGGCGATCCATGTGTCTACCTTATATCACGCTGTCAATGATGGAAGATCCCGTTGTAGCTCAATGCACTGGTTTTGTGGGTGCATCAAACAGGCTCTATAAACAAAAGTGGCGGGACCAATTTGAAGCGCTTGTCGAGAATAGCAATCTACTTTTCGCTGATAAGTCGCTCGAGCGATTGGTGTCGCCAACGCAGGCCGATCTCAGGTACGATGAGAGAACTGAACGCAAGCTTGAAATACCTGTAGAGTTGAAAATCTGATAAGATCGTTTTCAACGCTATACCACTATATTGGATGAGCACTAATTAGGCCGATTTTAATATGTGCAAGGTCACAGCTAAATAACCAGATATCTAAAGGTCTAGGCTGTGCACCTCAAGGTTCTATACCACGAAATTTATGAAATAGCAAATTAGGGCCATTCTGACTCAGAGGTCACTGGCAAAAGACAATCCTCATTTACATCTTCTGTGTGTGGTATCAGTATGTATTTGCATTATAAAACTTCATTTTGTCTCAGATTTATAGATTGGCTTCAGAAGACATGTCGACAATCGCGCTGTCATTGGGAGGGCAGCGAAGAATGGCTAAGATCCCAACTCGAGGACTACTTCCGCGGTATGAGGTAAATAAGTGAATAATCATGTAAAAGACGAATTGATATCTTCTTGCATATTTGATTAATGACTTCGATTATGGCAATTTATTTACCTACGGCACAAGCTAAAATTTTTCCTGCGCCCAAGTAACAGTACGCGCAGTCAGAAAGAGCAGTGCCTTGAATGCTCGATATAAATAGCTTTGCGATGCAATCATTGATGTTACTCGGTTTTAATTTTGGATTCCAGACTAGCCGTAGAAGCTTCTGGGGTCGAGGGCGATAAACTGAAAACCGCTTATGGGGTTGGCTTTGTGCAAGAGGTCTCCAAACTGGATGAGGTAGGAAAATACCTAACGTCTGAATCGATTCAGTTTCACACCAAACATATACCTTTTAGTTACTTTTACTGGGACTAAAAACTGCCTCGATCATAAGAAAGTTATTTGAAGTATATGACACGAGAATCACATGCTATTATTTCATCTAAATCAAACATAAATGCATTTAAGACGCAGTGGTTAAATGTAGACGGCAAGTTTTCTTTATTTTAAAATCCACTATCCTGAGTACGCAGTAGGTTTTATTTCTACAATTAATTAGTATGTGGAAAATTTAGTTTAATTTTATATACGCATGGAAAAACTAACATAAAACGAACTATGGCTGACTCAGGTGGTTCGATGGCTTTCGTCATATGGCGAAAATACGGAGCTTTCGGAGAACGGTGATAATATTAGCTGCGGTGGTGTCACTGCAGCGAGCGGCCGAAATGAGCAAAGTGGACATCCTGGTGCGGGTCAACCCTCACTGCAAGACGTCAAGTTAAGACTCGTACATCATGCCAAAGGACTTATGGCGCACTTTAATAACTTCTGAACAAAAAGGCAGAGCGTTAATTAATAACAAAGCTTGTATTTGAACAACAGTAGTATCATCACTACCACTTACTTAACGAAGAAACGAGCGTACCTCGACCGTAGAGCAAACACGTCTCGGAGCGCACGCTGGATCTCCTTGAGCTCCCTAACATTCAATGATTCCGGCAAGCTACGAAAAAGACTTGTCGGTTTGCGTCTGCATAAGCCGCGACCATGAACGAAGAGTAGACTGTATGAAACAGATACTTCGTTTTGTTGAAGGTCGTCCGTGTGCAACGAACGAGATATGTGCTGCTGCGCCGGCGTCAAAAGAATATAGAAAAACGCCTAGTTGAGGCAGCGAATCAGATTGGGCGTCTCGAGTCCTGTTGCTGCTTCCAGTGATAAAGCCTCAAATACCCCCTACAGTTAAAGTATCTGCGGACCGAGTTACCACTTGATCAATGCGCAGTCGTCCCTTGAACCGATTTTTGCTTAACCTAGGAAACAGTAACAAGAGAGCAATTATTCGAGTTTATACCCAGGATTTCGTACGGGTGTAAGACCCACTGACCCACTACTTCGTAATAATTTATAATAATACACGACATCGAAACAAGAGGTTAGTATTTTAAGTGGTTATCCACGTTAAAGAGAGTAGGATCGACAACAACGACAGCCAGCAAAGTGACATTCTTATGGTTGTCTGCAAGAGTTTACAATTGGTCGATCTATAAACTATCGCAAAATATGAACCGTTTGTTACTCATTTAAACTCTAAAAAAAGCAGGTCACTTGTGTTTTACAACAGCAGTATATTAACTGCAATAGATATCAATGGTCAGTGATGAATGCAGCGGCTGATACGTTGTCTTGAAAAATGCTTGTTTCTTTTAGTGCACTGTCTCGTGCTCATACCAGACAAACATGTAGCTTACGGTGAATAATAATAAGTACTATAAGTCTTAGGGGTGAACTTGGCTTAGGCGTGTCGTATAGTGATACTTCTGTTTGATCCTAGCGGTAGGAACGACGGATGTGATACTTACTTCAAGCAGCCTTTTGCGGAAGAGGAAAGGCAAACTGTTAGAACGATCGTTTACGTTGGAGGACGAGTTTCGGACATTTACAATGTGATGTGGAAGACGTGAGGCCATTTTTTTCAATAACGACGATATAAGGATCGATCTACGTTTTTTAGAACCCAACTATAGAACCTGCAAGAATAGTGTATTGGATAGCAATTGTATTTGAGTTCTCTCATTCCACTTTTTACTTAACTGTTGGACTGAGGTTGTGTTTAAGTTTCCTCATTCCACTCATTTACTTAACTGTTACGATAACGACGTTACTGATCCAAAGGATCGTCTCATTACTCAGGAAGCAGCATATGTGAAAGAATGTTATTCGTTCGAAGAACGTTCCGTGAGTATTTTACGTACAATCAAGCACTATCTTTTCCATGGAGGGCAATAAGAGGTTTCACTTAACAAAGCAGAACTAAATAGAACCTGCTTTCTAATCGTAGAAAATTTATGGATACTAGCCCGTAGACGCTGGTGGCACAATCATTTACGCGCCTTCGTTGGTATAAAAAAAGTTGTAAATGACTATGCTTAAAAAATTAAAAATAATATATCAAAGTTGTCGTCATGTTACGTCTTTAGTATAAATTGAATGTAAACGGTATTAAAAGTAACCCGTTTCAAACCCCAAGCACGTAACAGATCAAACCGTAATTACAATACCCACGGTGCATTGCTCCATTTTTCAGTTAGCGACAAAAACAACAGAAACGTAGCAGCGAGTATTCATGCTCCGGCTACTAGAAGTACATTTTTACAAATATGTGGAGTATGAATTAGGGTCCTCTCTGCGTGTCGCAGCGCAGAAGTTAGCCACATGTACTTATTTTAAGCGTGTTCTTGTTTTACCAAGAGACACAAGTGGTGGCTGTTTTTGCTAAGGTCATTTTTGATGTGCAATCAGCATTGTCGTAGAAGCTAAATCAACAAAGCCAGAACCATAACTATATCATCAGTAGTCGATTTCCCTAGAAAACTAGATGCAGCGAAGTAGTATTTTCGGTGATGAACATATTTCCTATATCTATGCCGCCGTTCAGGAATCATTTACAATGCAAAGGCACAACTGATGGTGTCCTTGAAAAACTAATGTAGTTACTTGTTTTTACAATGAATCAATGCGAAGAACCCTTTATAACATAGCATTTCATTATTTCAGTTGTTGCCCTTGAGATTCGCTGGCAATTCTAGATTACCATGAGTGTTAAATCCTTCCAATTAGGTGTATCGAAACTGGACTCCCAAACGTAGCATTAGTGTAGAAAGTAAACCTGTTTACTGCTGAATGATGCATGAACTTGCTTAAGGTGCAGAGGGATACCAAATACCTATTTACGTGTAATCTCTATCCTTGACGGGTTGAGGAAGCAATAAAGCTTTCAGCGGTAAGCTCGTGGTTTCCTTTTTCGTTCTTCTCGTGTGTTTTTGTACATTCATTCGCTTCTAACATGTGTATTTTCGCAAGCCGAATGAACACTTTGGCCGAATAAATAGCGAGACAACATTTATTTGACCATAGGTAGCATCGCTGAGAGTTATAACAGTCGTAGCGAGATTTGGCACGAATTTAGCAAATGGTTGCACGGAGGCACAAACAAAACAGCAATTCGATTGGTGCCTTTTAATAGAATTAGAGACCGGGAGCATCGCTTTTAAATGACACGAACAAAATACGTTTTGGGATTTTGTCATCCACTTACGCAACAGCACACAGATGAAATTTTCAACTTCCAATGTGATGATGTTCATAGCCGTGCGTAAATATCCCACTGCTTTAGCTTAAGACGTATTTAGTTGTTCTAGTGCACCTAGTAAATTTACGTAACCCTATTTTTTGTCATTCGATCGTAATGCGAATGATACTACAGATAATAAAGTGTAATTGTACTCATTAATTGAGGATTTTTGCTCGTTACACTTTACTTACGTATACCCACAACAGGGACAATTAATCACAGCATGTGTATCGTTTATGTGTAAGCCGAAGTTAGAGAAACGACTTTACTAGGAATACTATTATTGACGTTTAAACCGAGTACTGGGCATTCATCTTTCACAAACATTTGCCATTCTCAATATTTGCCACCTAACAAGGAATCGCCGTGAATCCGTGAAATATTCAAAGGTTTGTGAACGAGAATTTCTATTTTACTCACTATTTGGTCAATGATGCAGAGTTAGACTGTATTATTTGGTTCTGTTACATATCAGTTCCGAGAGTCGTTCGCAGAGATTAGCATAACCGTTTTAATTAGTTGGATTATGGTAGTGTAACAAATGGCATAATCGTCGTAGATATCGTAGAAGGTTAATATACCTTGTGTTCCTTGCATTGTAGTATATTCAACACAAAGAAATGGCTAGCTAGCTAGCTTGCGGTAAAGAAACCCCGGGAAAAATTAGATATAATCTATAGAAAAAAAAAAAACAAACAGCCGTTCAAACCATTCTTTTACTGTTTTTTTGAAAGGGCAAAGATTTCTTTGCACCAATGCCCCTCCCCCACATACTGGGCAATACCGCCTGTTACACGACAGGAATCAAGGTTGAATGTATTACAATTGGGGACTCTAATGATATTCAGTCTGGGCAAACATAACTGCACATACGTAGCCCAAATTGAAAGTTCGGAAAATTTGAGATAATTGGTTAGCTTTATCTAGAATTTGGGTCCAAGAACTTGAGGTTGTGAGTCCGACGCTTTACTCACTCAAGGTGCCGACTGGCAGTCAAATATAAGATCCAGACTAAATATTTTAGGAAGTATTGGTTATATTACCATTAAGTTCCATTTGAGAAATAGACTTTCCACTAAAGAATATGAGACTTGTATTCAGAAAATGCCTATAGAAACACAACGCACTTAATGCCAAAAACATGTTAACACTTCTCCCATTGTTTACGCGTTTGCAATCTGGGTGTACAATAAAAATGCGTACGTTTTGTTTTATCAGTTGGAAAGCAAATGGCAATTTGCCCCAAGAATAGTTACCAGGACCTGTCCAAGTCAACATGGGTACCTGGTATAAAAAACAGCTACATCTAGGTTATAGAAAATACTTCACCGTTTTCTCGTAGGTGAAAAACATAACATAATCTTTTTACATGAAAAGGAAATATATAAATATAAGTAGTTGAGAGGTTCGTACTTATGTATGATAGGAGGTCGTGGGAGAATGTGGAAGGAATAAACTAATCATCAAAATGCAATAAGATACTTGTGTAGAAACACTGGCACATTTTCGTGTTATTTTTTTCATTGCCGACCACCGCAACTTTTTTAGGTACAATACTACTGAAAAAGTGTGATCAATATTTTGTTGTTCGTGAACTATCTTATATAAATGTTTTGAAGAGTTGGACGCCAGCTTAGACTCGGTCAGTTTCTCTCAGCTACGGTTAGGGCGCGTAAGTTTTTGTGTATAAGCACTGTGTGTTTGTCAGGCCGTTTTTTGTAGCGGACATGTGGCTATTCCTTATTATTATGAAAAATAAGTTTCTTTTTAGAACAGAACTACATACCCGTTATAATGAGACAATAATTTTGTGTTCACAACATGTGCGAACAAAAGCATCAGCTACGTAACGCCGTATGAATTCTAGCAACCATTATAAACTTTTTAAACCGAAATTATAAGGTGAACCAGAACACACATCAATCATAGCGATTAGACTGAGAAGGCGTGAAAATACGTCAGGATGGTATTACTTTTGATTACTTTGGGATCCTGATGCAGTTGTTTTCGGCGGAGGGAGAAGCCCTAACGGTTTATCTTTTTAGGCCCTCTGCGCCTTGTTTCCATATTTAGAACTTCTTGCATGGTTATATTTTTGGTAGGCTATTTGCCTTGTATTTGTTTGTGTCTGACGAATTTGAGCAAAAATGTGGTAGTCCACATTCATTAATATCGCTTTACGCTAGGACGTCGTTCGCTTGCCTTAATCACAATTATCTCTAAAGATGGTCTGTATGTGATTTGAATGCTCAGTCAAAGTCGTTACTGAAGGAAATTGAATAAATACATAAATAAGGAGTGTCTCCTCCAGCATATGCAAACAACTCTTGTCAAATTCCTTTTTTTAAAAAAAGAAACGATTTTCCTATCTCTTTGTACCAGCCCGAACCAATATAATGTAGCTCAGAAAGTTAATCCTGATGTGCAAAACATTAAAATAGGCATACACCATTTTGTTTCTAGTACCAGCTTAATTATTATATCTATGTAGTATAAAACAATATGCTAAATTGTAGAATAAGCCTAATTTCCATTTGAAATATATTTACGTTACAGTAGTATCGCCGATAAGCACAGAGGACCGCTACTGCATAAAGTCGATGTAGATTAGAATGAAACGCCTTCCTTCGGAAAACGGGTTTAGATCTTCAGATTGGTTTCTGTTCGTGCAAAATTTTTCTCATTGTCGCCGGTTTTAGACGGCTAGTAAAGAGCAAGCAACGAAAAGCCTTTCTGAGAAGCGTCTTGGTACATGGACGGAGACAGACGGTCATTATAGAAAGTGAATATGTGAAAAAAACTGCTGGCGGATCTGTTTCAGAGCGGATGCCACATCAGAGCTCTGTTTGAACGCTTTTAGTGGATATTGAGTGCATCCTCTTAAATGAACAGTGTAGTTGCGTAGACTGATTCACAGCGTACGTACGTACGTACGTTGGCTCACCCGAATTTCTCCTAGCTGCGTGACGTCTTCGCTTCGATTTGGACGCAGGGTCAACCTAGGCATCAACAAGGGTCAGTATTAATTGTAACATTGTAAACAGGTTCACAATAATAACACACCTCACCTTTTTTCCAGAAGGGAAGCTAACGAAGTATTATAGGTTTGACAAGAGGCAGTATCCATGTAAGGCTTCTCAGGTATTACATTCTCAATCAAAAGATTTACTCCTAAAACAGCAGTAATGTAGTTCAGTTGGATAGAGCAACAGAAAACCCACATGATGTGCTTACAGGATGCCGGATCTGCTAAACAATATTGTGATTTCATCGCTATACTGAGGGTATGAACTCTTTTTTTTTAAGAAGATTTTCAATGCCAGCATGGAACACCACGAATTAGTATCCAGATTCGCATCAGGCCACAGTGCGCGCGAACATTAATTAACAGCAGACGAAAACTACAGAGAATGCACACTGAAATCGGACATAGATTATTCACTTTACAAAACGAGACGTTCATTGGCCTGCCTTAATAGAGTGAATACAGTGTACGCCATTGTAGTAGTGCAAACCGTTTGTGAGAACAATCTCACAAGTGTCAAGTGCTAAACGGTCTTCCGTATATGTTGTGGTAAATTCATTCATTCAGTTAATATTTTTATTAAAATATGGTTGGTGCATTTTCTCGTGTGCATGTGCCACGAATCAGTCCCTCTACCTCATTTCTGTATTTAATGGCATTATTTCTTTTTAAGGTTTAAACCTCAAGCTACTATTCCTATAGAGCTGGTTTTAGCTCACGTGGTTTGAAATTATACGCAAAACTACAGTGCAAGGAGTCCTACATCTATTTGAAATTAATTTAGTTTTTTATTAATGCAATCTTTTAAAAACTAAAAAAAAGCTTTTAAAAAAGGTCGTCCTAGCAGTTTGGCAGCCAACGTAAGGACACTACAGCGCTAACGAAGTGCTGAAAACATAGGGGAACTTGATCTTTTTTTTAAAATTTTTTTAGAAACGAAAAATTTAACTTGTAAAATATATTACACCATTGTAAAATGGAGTGGACACTCAAACTAAGATGAAATTTAATACAACAAATATAACCTGCTGCTCTTTTCCATGAGGTATTTGCTTGCTTAGCTACCTATATCTGGTGCATCATGGAGAGCAACAATTTACATAGTAAAACCTATCGCCTGTATCGGACGTAGGTAACCCACATAAAAATAAGGTCTTTAGTCTAATATGTTCGTTTAGAAAATTCATAACCAGCATATTAGTTGAAGTAAGACATAGATCTTCAATATCCAGTCGTTGTAATTGCTAATTTTTTGGTAATTCGTAATAAAAAGCTATTGAGATTTTGCTTGTACGTAAACGTATTTAGGATTCAATAAATTACTAAGGTCCCTTGACCTATAAACCCATCATAACCCATCTTAATCATCATAGACCCATCATAAAAGACAAATTCTACCTATCTGGAGTATCAATTCGATACATCATAAATCGATTCTTCAATCTTAGCGTCCAATTTCTGCGAAAAGGGTCTAAACGGAAGTGTTGCTTTCTTTCTAACTACTTTCAGTACCCTTGAACCATCCTTTCAGTTTTTGCCATTAGTAGATCTTTTACGAATAGGCCTGCCTCGCCAAACCATCACAACTAGACGGGCAATCCAAGGATCCGAAGGCCACGTGAAGTTCCCTGTTTTTCGTTTATCTGTAATATTCGGTCGCAACGCTTGTATAATGATCCTAAGCGAAACTGTAGAACATGTAGCCTCTAGTGTGCAGTCTGAAGCTTTGGTTCTGCCGTCAAACCAATAAGCTTACGGGAATAGTGCGAAGCCTTCGAAAGGACAAAGCGGCTTTTGAAGGTGTTATGAGTATCTCCGATGCGCCATCGTCTGCATTTCGTAAACCGCACCTAGAATGGTGAACGTTCAGGTTGAGGTTAGATTTTACTCCTTGAATACTTTTGTGTGAAAAAACGAATGGCGTTTAGATGTATATTTTTATTCTCTATTGCAGAATTGGGTATTACAGATCGAGGTTAGATAAAAATGCTTTTTGTTGTCTTGCATCTTCCGGCCCTAGCAATGGCAACGATGGTGTAGCCGTTTATTATTTTCCTTTTCGAAATGGTGCTGTGTGTATGTATGTTCGAATTTTGTATATTCTTGAAAATTTTTATTTACTTTCTTTTTCTGTGTTTGTCTACAAATTCGCTGTTATCATGTTGCCCAGATCATAAGATCTCATCTTTCTTTCATCTATAGTTTTTTTCAAAATGCAGCAAGTTCTATATTTTACAAAATAAAAATCATATATAAGATTATCGAGACAACACTATAATGAACACAAGTCGAATAAAAGGTAACGAAGGCGACGAAAAGCTGGTTTATACTCGGTTTCAGAAAATCAGCTATTCATTAGAAAAAAAAGATAAAAAGTTAAAAAAAAATTACTAAAAATATAATGGATACGGTTTCTTATTTTTCCCCTCGGCCACCTTTCTTTCGTTATTTGTCAATGGTCTCAGGGTCTTTCGTTTCTGTTAATAAAATTTACCATATTTATCCATTTTAGGTTCCTTTTCCGTTTCTCATCGGTTAGAACTGCATCAATTCTAATTTATTTCTAGTTAAATGAGGAAAATTTTCTGCTCTGGTTTGAAAAGCGGGAATACATAATGTTTGTCTGAAGCTGTCATGTACTAAATGATTTATTCGTATTTTTTTCATGAAAAAAGCTTTACGGTATTTGCGGTATGCCACCATAATGCGCTATGGGTGGCCTAGGATAAAAAACATTTCGGCTATAGTTAGATTGGAAACCGGTTGTTAGAGCGGCAGCAGAGCACCTTATACCACCACCGGTATAAGTCTGTGAATTGCTTTCTTTTTAAATTTGCCTTAAGTACATAAGATAATACTATAGTACAAATGCCTTTTAAACAATGCGAGAGTAGATAGCTATGCGCATTCAAACGCACTCATATAAACAACTAAATAGTTAAAATAATGATGCAATTTCCCTCGGATCCAGCACCATTCAGCTTACTTTCAGGTGTCAAAAAGCATTCCGGGAGTGATTTTGCAGAAACAGTGATTTTTGTCTGGTACTATATTTTAAACATGTTCACTGAGTGCCCGAGCAATAAGTGAATCGACGGTTCGGGGTGATAATGTTGTTTAATTTCCAAAAATATGTTTTGCTCGATTCAAAGCGCTTCGATCCATCGTGCTTTTATAATTAGACAATAACAAATGTTTTTGTTTTTCTTTTTGATCGGTTAATATTTCCCAAAATACAACACACCTACCGGGGAGGATGTTGCCTTTGACGACATAGAGGCGTCCGTTAAGCTGTCAGTTAATGAAAATACAGTTTGCCACGGTATCTCCGATGAAAGTGGTTCTACTCTTCCGAGCTAGGAGTGTGGACAAGGAGATAACGAACAAAACCAAGAAGATCGCAACAGATAACTGTATAAGTACAGTTTGTATTAAGAGAACATTTGTGCAACATAAAAAATCATTTACTTTCCCTAAACGATGAGGAATACTAAAAAGTAATCAAACAAGCACAAACCTTACAGGGCTTACACATAGCCCTTATAGGTCAACATCTACTACAACTTTAAATTTTATGTGAAGACTACTCGCGGTTGACATCCAAATTCTCTAGGACACACATTAGGTTGTCACAAACTAGTCCGGCGACCTTTGAAATTGAATAATCTTTGTAGTAAGAGCTTCTAACTGACGAAGTTTGGCTGTTTAAATTTTTCTGAAAACTTGAAATTTTCTGAAAACGAGGTGAGAACAGATGAATTACTCTGGGAGAAATGAGTCACAAAGAAAAACATCTTATAGTCATGACAAGCAACTTTTGGTCAAATTTTTGATCTTTGAAAGCCACGAAGCTGCGGAAAATTATCGAAGATAGATGGAGACATTAACCAAAGAGGCTCTAAGCGAAAACACGGTACATGAGTGCAAACATTCAAAAACGGAGGTTGGAGTTCTGAAGACCAGCAAGGAGGTGACCAGATAGTTAGAGTCGAAGGACAAAAACGCGTTTCCGCAACCGAGGAGGCTTTTCACAAAAGCAGGGCTTAGTCCTTGAGGGTTGTTTCACACGACATAATTATAACCCAAATTCTGAAAACGCGGAAACTGTGTAAAAATGCGTTCTCTGTAAATTAACTTTGAGCCAGTTTAAAAAGATCTTGTCAGTTACTGCCCGGATCGGGCGAAAGAATATCTAACGTACGCTTTAGCATGTTTATTCTCCCCACTCAGATCAATGTGGTTGCGGAGTTTCCATGTCGTAAAAATGGAAATCAGTGGGGAAACATATACTAGTATTAATTTACTTAGATAAATTATAGATAGAGAAATTACATATGGGAACGCGAACAACAGGTATGTCGCTGTCCAGAAACTGCCAGAATGCA